AAGGACATGAAGGAGAAGAACTTCTCCATCATGCTTGGATCGAAGCCCGCGCCTTGGTTTGCGGGTGTTTCAGTAGACCCAGCTGCCGGTCTCGTTGTTGTGCCTTCCTCTGTCTGTAGGCCAGAGGCAGGAGGTGGAGTAGGAGTAGTACCAGGAGAGCCGTTGGAGGAGCTCCTCTCCTTTCTGGTAGACATGTCTCTTGGTGTATTAGGTGTTAAGGAGAAATAATTTTAACCCTAACCAGCTCTCATACCATGTTGGGCTGAGTGCCCCTTAGGATCTTTGGTAGGGTTAAACTCTGGGTAGAGTGATGTAGTAGCGGAAGCGTTTAAATGAAGTCCTTGAACCACCTTGCGCTGGTATGTGAGGGCAAAGTAAGTTGATTAAAACAAGCAAGTACAAAGGTTTATATAAGAGTACAAAGAATACGAAGAGATATAATTAAACTGTTTTACTGTTGCGGTTCGATACAGTGCGACTCGGGCAACTGCTCAATGTCGAGTCAGTTGTGTGTCCTTGCTGTCGCGCTGCATCTGTCAAGTCAAAGGTCGCTGACCTTTGACTTTCGCGTAACCTCCAGCGGTTACTTCAACCTCCGAGGGTTGACTCGCTGGTGCCTCGATATGCTCTGCTTCGCTTGTGCCTTGGTATTTCGACACGACAGAGGCGCTTTAAGATTGTTTGTTCCCAACAATTATAACTGTTTTACAGGCATTTCTACAGTGACTCTGACTGTTGTACTTCCTTCTTGTTACCGAGTCGCTGCATGTAACCTGTACGGTTACGCCTGTTGCTTTTCCTCGATGGCAAGTCAAGCGTCGGTCCAGATGGTCAACAGTCGCGACAGTTGACTCTTGCGATTGTTGACCTTCCTGCCCTTGATACGGGTTGATCCGATACTGCGGTTGTTGCTGCTTTGACAAAGTCAGGTGCGATACTGCTGCTCCTACGGAAATGCTAAGTATAATTCCCTTCACACTCCATCACTCCCCTTCATTCCTGGAGGTGCGCCAGGTGGCTTCCCTTGTCCTCTTGTCCCTTCCCTTCCTTGTCCTTTCGTCCCTTCCCTTCCTTATCCTCTCGTCCCTTCCCTTCCTTGTCCTCTCGTCTCTTCCCTTGTCCTCTCATCCCTTCCCTTCCTTATCCTCTGGTCCCTTTGCTTCCCTGTCCTCTACCCTCTTCCCTTCACATCTCTTTCCACCCCACTCCTCTGTTCCCTCTGCCCTTTCCTTCTCGCTGCCCGTGTTTGCTCGTGTCGCTCTCAACCCAGGGTCTTCTCAAATTGTGCCGGACTTACGCCTCACAAAATGGATGTGCAGCACCACCATTCACATTCGCAGTGTGAACCGGAAGAGTGATAATGGCACGAGATGGATTATACATTTTTTTTTTATTAGGAAAAAACTTGACACTGTCTCATCTGCTTGGTTCGACCTGGTATGTCCGTTGTTTCATTCATTATCAATAACCCTAAACTGCTTTGTAATGAACATTACTGTTGGCCAATTAGCCAACTGAATGGCTTCATTTTTCAATTTAGAGAACGATTTTTACAAGTTTCCAGATCTGTCTTGTTCCGTATATGTTGAAAACCATGTTGTAACAGCTTTGTCAATTTGCCTGAATCCCTCTGCATTTCGCCTTCAGGAATCGTTTGTCCTTTGTGCAGTTCCCCCCTTGTTGATTTCGGAAGTAGCAAGGTACTGTAGTCCATTGAGTTTGGTTGGGTCGCACTTCCCACTCATCACCCTTCACCACCCTTGCTCCGCGAATTTTTTTCTCGTCAACCTTCGCAAGCCTAATTCCAACTTCAGTAATTTTGAAACTTCGCCATTCTAGACTTGCCGGTTGTGCATACATGCACATTAAAGCATTGCACATGCCTCTACCATAATTTTCAGGTCTTACTGTGGTGGGCGTGCCTATTGGGGAGGAGGTTTGGGAGGTGGTCTGGCTACGGGAGCGGCTTCGACAGTTGCAGGCGCCACTGCCATGGCTCCAATTGCTCGACCACCCTCAGATGGCTTCACACCTCCTCGCCATTGCAGTTTCAGCGCGGCCGATGTACCTCGCCCGGACTATGCCGCCGCGTCCGGAGGTGGTTGAGGCTTTTAGGGATTGGGACAGCTATTTAGAGGATTGCTTTGAGCAGCTTTTCCCACCTGACACTTGGGAGCAGGACCCCGACCGGTCTAGGCGCGCACGCATGCAGCTGCATCTCCCTGTGCGACTCGGAGGGTTCGGGATCCGGGCGGCGGCCTCTTTGAGCCCACTGTCCTATGTTTGTGGGTGGGCGCAGGCCGCGCGTGACATTGCACAGTTAGGGGTGGCGGGCAGGGCTGACTTTTCGAATAAAACCACTCTGATTTTTTTGGCCCCCCAATTTTTTTTTAGTCTGAGGCCCATTTTCCAAAAAGTGAATACTCTGATTTCTCAGGAACCAGAGAAGTATAACTCTGAAAATTTTATAATTCATAGACTAAGGCAGGTTTTCCTACTAACGAACCTTTTGCACAAGTTCGGAGGGATGGGTTTTCCTCGAAGTAACAGGTATGGCGAAGGGGAGTTCGTACTCTGTAGTATGAAAACTCATTATTCGGTAAGCAAGTTCTCTGAATTTTTCAGTATCGAAAAAACCATTAGTCTGAAGCACTCATTTTTCAAAACCAGCCAACTCTGAAAAATCAGGAATGTCAGGAAAATAGTCTGAAATTTCAGACAATCAGACTAAAATAGTCTGATATCGTCAGCCCTGGTGGCGGGTGAGGAGGCGATGTTTGCGGAGTACCTCACCACTTCGACAGGGGCAGAGTTTCTTGACCCGTGGTTTGTCAAGGCTCTTGAGCAGCTGCCAGCGACTATCCGTCACGAGATACCGGGCTTACCTCTGTGCGTACCGGCCCCTCCTGTTCGGCTTTTCCAGGCGCGGCAGCGGCAGTTAGCTGTAGAGGAGCTCCAGGCACTACGCCGCTTGGCTCGTGACGATGCTACCTTGGCCCGTTTCACATCCCTTCAGGGCCCGGGGGCGGGTGCATGGGTTTCGGCGGTTCCGGCTCACTCAGATCTCACATTCACTGCGGCTGAGTGGGGCATCGCTGCTGCTATACGGCTTGGCCTCCCAATTCAGCAGCTGCAGGTGGCGGGGAGGTGTATTTGTGGCACAGCGTATGTTGACCCAGCAGACCCGCACCATGCCCTGAGATGCAAGCACCAGCATGGTCCATCTCGGGTGCATGATGAGGTGAAGTTTGCGGTGGTGAAGATCTCTAAGGCGTCGGGGGGGGTGGTGACAATGGAGGATAGTGTGGTGCTGCAGGGGAAGCGGGTTGATGTGGCGGTGCGACGACCAATGGCTGGAGAGGCTCACGCCCTAGAGATCAGCGTCGCGGACCCGCTATCGCTGTCTCCATCACTGCTGGGACAGTGCGGGCGTCAAATAGGTGTGGCGGCAAGGGAGTGGGAGCGTCGCAAAACGAGTGATTACGCGCCTCTGCTTGCACGCAACCGGGGCGTGCAGTTCACCCCTTTGATAGTTGAGACGTGGGGGTGTCTCGGCGGTCGTTTTCAGCGGTGGCTTCGTCAGCAGGGGGATGCGCACGTGTGGCTAGCTGTGTCGCGGGGGGCTTGTCGAGAGGACGACTCTGTGTTTTCGGCTTATCTTTTAGGGTCACTGAAGGCGCTCATCGGGGTGGCGTTACAACGTGCGCAAGCCCGTGTCATCCTGCTTCGAGCGGCGTCTTCCATGGGGGGGATTAACGTAGATTTGGTGGACCGGGAGAGGGACGATGTCGATGTGGAAGGCGGGGCTCTCTGGGTAGAGGCCCCGTACATGGTCGATACGCTGTTGTGATTGAAGGGGGGGGGGGGGGGGTGTGGGATGGGATGTCTTGATGGGGTGTCTTGACTCGGCGTTTTGATTGGGTATCTTGAGGGGGGGTTCTATGTGTGTTGCATTTGGGTTCTTTTACTCATGTGCTTCTTCGTGAGTGGGGCAACACATAGGGAAAAATGGATGTCTGTGGTTGGGGTGGGGATGGGGAAAGAGAGATGCGGATTGCGATCGAGGGAAGTTTTTGGGTTATGTGAATAGACCAGGCTGACTACATCGAGATTTATCATCCGGTCTGGAAGACTAAAAAAAAAAAAAAAAAAAAAAAAAAAAAAAATCAGGGCGAACCCTGATAAATCAGGAAGGCGTTGTGGGCCCTCTGATTTATCCTAACAAGAACCCTGATCTAAATGAGTGGTATCACAGAGCTCGCAGTCGCAAATATAAAAACAGGGGGTACACATTCAACGTGCAGGATTTTGGCGAAACGTGGTTGACAGTTGGCAATGTAACGCTGCTTCAGTTTGCCTGAAGGGTGAGGGTGATGGGACAATGGTCACTTCCAAGAAACCATGCAGTTGGGGGAAGATGGCACATCAGGGGGTAAGAGCCCTGATAAAATCTTTAATCCCTTGTTTGTTATTAGTAACTACACACCTACAGCACCTCCAGAATAAATATGCACCCCCCACACGCCCCATCGCTCCCCGCCATCCCCCTTCCCTTTCCCCCCCCCCACCTCTCCCTACTCTCCATGCATACTCACCCTCGCCATCAAACCCTTTCCCATGCACATCACATGCCACCACTCGTTGGACAAACAGAAGCAGTCAGCCCGCACGCGCTTGCCTAGGTGAGTCGACTTGAACGTCAGCCCCCTACCCTCCATCCATACTCACCCTCTCCCTCGAACCCGCGCCCGTGAATGTCACGTGCCGCAACTCGGGGCAGAAGGTCATTGGATAAAAGCAAGTAATCAACTCGCGTTCCCTTTCCCTTTCACCTCCCCCAACCCAACCCTCCATCCATACTCACCCTCTCCCTCGAACCCGCGCCCGTGAATGTCACGTGCTGCAACTCGGAGCAGAAGGTCGTTGGATAAAAGCAAGTAATCAACTCGCGTTCCCTTTACCTTTCACCTCCCCCAACCCAACCCACCACCCATACTCACGGTCCTCTTCGAACCCTCGCCCATGTATGTCACATGTCGCCAATCGGGGTAGAAGGTTGTCGGACACACAGAAGTAGTCAACCGGCATGCGCTTGCCTCGGTACCTGCCGAGGCATGGTATGTCAGCACAGCATACGGACGAGTATGGGATGGAGCGGGAAGAGGGCTGCCATTTGGTTTGGAGTGCATCTGACACACAGAAGCAGTTTTGAGTCGACTCAAAACTAGAAGTAGTCAACCCGCATGTGCTTACCTCGGTATCTGCGGAGGCATGGCAGGACTGGAATGGGAGGATTGGAATGATGTGCACCTGACGCAAAATTAGCCCCACTATTCAACACGCATGTGCACACGTGTGTGTGTGTGTGTGTGTGTGTGTGGGTGTGCGTGTATGTGTGTGTGTGTCTGCGCGCGCGTGTGTGTTTGCGCGCGCGCGCGTGTGTGTGTGTGCGTGTGTGTGTGGGCATGGCACCTTATACTCGCCACACACACCTCCCCACAGGGTTGCCACACCACGTGAATCCTGCCTGCATGTCCTTGCCGGGGTGCATGTGGCGATAGGCGTCTGTCAGGCCAGCTCTGGTGAGGAGAACAACGGGCGAGAGGGGATGTGAGGACGGAGAGGAAGAGAGGGCGTTTTCGAGGCACCTGAAAGCCCACATGAAGCCTGCTTGCATGTCCCTGGTTGCGTGCAAGATCCAGACATAGCTCAGTGAGCTGTTAGGCCAGCCCTGGTTGCGTGCAAGATCCAGACATAGCTCAGTGAGCTGTTAGGCCAGCCCTGGTTGCGTGCAAGATCCAGACATAGCTCAGTGAGCTGTTAGGCCAGCCCTGGTTGCGTGCAAGATCCAGACATAGCTCAGTGAGCTGTTAGGCCAGCCCTGGTTGCGTGCAAGATCCAGGCATAGCTCAGTGAGCTGTTAGGCCAGCCCTGGTTGCGTGCAAGATCCAGACATAGCTCAGTGAGCTGTTAGGCCAGCCCTGGTTGCATGCATGTGGCGATACACGTCTGTTAGGCCAGCCCTGGTCAGGTGAGGAGGAGAGGACGAGGAGAGGAGGAACAGGAAGCGAGAGGAAGGGAGAAGAGGACTGGAAGTTACGGGGGGGGCAACTAGCACAAGGAAAATACAGTAAAGGGGTTAGACCACGCGAGGACTTCCGATCATTCCTTTCTCCTCTACACAGAGACCCCCCCTTCCACTCCCTTTCTCACCCTCTCCCTCCCCGCTTCCTCCCGATCCGCACCACCTGGCACACTTCCTCTATCACACACACACACATACCTTTTCAGAGTCTGGGCGAATCTCATCCGCTCGTTGACAGAGAACCCAGGCTGGCCCCGGTCCTGCGGCCCAACCGCATCGAGAGGTAGGAGGGAAGAAACAACGAGTTCGGACGAAGGGATTTGGGCTTTCCAGAAACTCGCAAACCATCTCATCAGCCTAAGCTAAGACCAGAGTAATAAATATACATGTATATATAACGCTGCAGCAAGGCACCTTGCCAGCGTTGCAATTGCAGGTGACTGTGTGCGCATGTGCGCACCCACTTCGCAGGTGCGTGTAGGCGGTTCAGCACGTTGTGCACCTGGTATATATACTCCTCTCACATTCGTCTATCACAATGCTAGAAGTCTACCGAGTCTCACCCCGGGATCAGTAGCCGGCTCGCCATTGGTCGCCGTACGAAAGAACTCGGTCGCTGACATCATCATCTGTTGGACTGGTGTTGGGCAGGGAGAAGGAAGAGCGGTGGAGTGGAAGCGGGAGAGAGGTTGACGTATGAAAAATCTCCAGAGTGACTCACATATGACAGGATGGAAGTGGGAAAGAGGGTGAACCAATATGGAAGCGACAACCCCCCCCCTCCACCTCCCCCCCCCCAAAAAATATTAGTTGACATTGCAGAAGCTTTGTTTTCCCTTGAACAAAGGAGTAAACCAGGCTGAGTGGAAACGAGTCCTCGACATCACCCCTTCACATCCACACCTCACATTGAGATCGCCCAGCCAGATGAACGGCTTGGATCGCATGGCGTCGCTGGTGAGAAACCGACGGATGCGATCGTCCCACTCGGTGCGGCGGGGAAAGCTGGGAGAGTCTTTGGAGAAGGCGTTGTTTGGCACGTAGGTGTTGAGAAGGCGTTGTTTGGCACGTAGGTGTTGAGAAGGCGTTGTTTCGCACGTAGGTGTTGAGAAGGCGTTGTTTGGCACGTAGGTGTTGAGAAGGTGTTGTTTGGCACGTAGGTGTTGAGGAGACGACTTTTGAGGCGCCTCAAAAATGTTTGGCACCTCAAAAATGTTTGGCACGTAGGTGTTGAGGAGACGACTTTTGAGGCGCATAAAAAATGTTTGGCACGTAGGTGTTGAGGAAACGACTTTTGAGGCGCCTCAAAAATGTTTGGCACGTAGGTGTTGAGGAGACGACCTTTGAGGCGCCTCAAAAATGTTTGGCACGTAGGTGTTGAGGAGACGACTTTTGAGGCGCCTCAAAAATGTTTGGCACGTAGGTGTTGAGGAGATGACTTTTGAGGCGCCTCAAAAATGTTTGGCACGTAGGTGTTGAGGAGACGACTTTTGAGGCGCCTCAAAAATGTTTGGCACGTAGGTGTTGAGGAGACGACTTTTGAGGCGCCTCAAAAATGTTTGGCACATAGGTGGAGGAGACGACTTTTGAGGCGCCTCAAAAATGTTTGGCACGTAGGTGTTGAGGAGACGACTTTTGAGGCGCCTAAAAAATGTTTGGCACGTAGGTGTTGAGGAGACGACTTTTGAGGCGCCTCAAAAATGTTTGGCACGTAGGTGTTGAGGAGACGACTTTTGAGGCGCCTCAAAAATGTTTGGCACGTAGGTGTTGAGGAGATGACTTTTGAGGCACCTCAAAAATGTTTGGCACGTAGGTGTTGAGGAGATGACTTTTGAGGCGCCTCAAAAATGTTTGGCACGTAGGTGTTGAGGAGACGACTTTTGAGGCGCCTCAAAAATGTTTGGCACGTAGGTGTCGAGGAGACAACTTCTGAGGCGCCTAAAAAATGTTTGGCATGTAGGTGTTGAGGAGATGACTTTTGAGGCGTCTCAAAAATGTTTGGCACGTAGGTGTTGAGGAGACGACTTTTGAGGCGCCTCAAAAATGTTTGGCACGTAGGTGGAGGAGACGAATTTTGAGGCGCCTCAAAAATGTTTGGCGCGTAGGTGTTGAGGAGACGGAGGGATGAAAACTCCAGGATGACTGCCCTCCCATCTGCCTCGTGCTGTTTTCTCTTCTCTGCTGCTCCCACCTGTAGAAAGGGGGGTGGGGAGGAGGGGAAGGGGGACAGTAAGGGAAGCCAGGAGAGTCTTTGGAGAAGCCGTTGTTTTGAGCGCCTGTCTGGCTTGTGCTTCTATTTCCGCTGCTGCCTCTGCTCCACTGCTCCTACCTGCGAAGAGAGGGGTGGGGCGGAGGGAGGGAGAGAAATAGCAGGTTGGGTTAGGGCAGCGCTGTGCTGGGAAAGTCCTTGGAGAAGACGCGGTTTGGCATGTAGGTGTTGAGGAAGCGGAGGGATGAAAGACAAAGAGGGAGACGTCATCCGTATCTGCTCCCACCGCACAGCACCGCACTAAACTCACTCACATCGAGGGAGAAGGAGGCGGAGAGGAGGTGGGGCAGCAGGGAGCGTTTGAGCAGCATGGCTGTGCTGGCATACTTGGTGGGGGCGAGGGACCACCACACCCGGTACAGGGTGAACGGCGGCAACGCCAGTGCATGCTGCACGAACTGACAGGGGGAAGAGAGAGGACGAGAGGGAGAGGGGGAGGGAGAGGGGGAGAAAGAGGGAGAGTGAAGGGAGGCCGAGGGACCACCACACCCAGTACAGGGAGAATGGCGGCGATGCCAATGCATGCTGCATGAACTGGCACGGGGAAGACGGGGAGAGGGAGGGAGAGAAAGGACCGTTTGGGAGAGACAGGAAGAGAGCGAGGGAGAGTGAAGGTGGGGGCAAGGGACATCCACCACACCTGGTACAGGGAGAACGGCGGCGACGCCAGTGCATCCTGCATGAACTGACATGGGGAGGGGAAGGGAAGAGACAGGGGGAGAGGGGGAGAGACCAGGTGGGGGCGAGGGACCACCACACCCGGTACTGGGAGAACGGTGGTGATGCCAATGCATGCTGCATGAACTGACATGGGGAGAAGGGGAGAGAGGCAGAGAGGATCAGAGGGTGAGAGGGTGAGGGAAAGGGAGGGGGGGAGGGGGAGGGAGAGGGAGAGAGGGAGAGTGAAGGTGGGGGCAAGGGACCACCAAACCCGGTACTGGGAGAATGGTGGTTTTGAGACGTCTCAATACTGGGAGAATGGTGGTTTTGAGACGTCTCAATACTGGGAGAATGGTGGTTTTGAGACGTCTCAATACTGGGAGAATGGTGGTGACGTTACAACATGCTGCATGAACTGACATGGGACAGGAAGAGATAGGGGGAGAGAGGGAGAGGGGGAGAGAGGGAGTGAGGGAGAGAGGGAGAGGGGAAAAGAACCAAAGAAAACAAAAGGATTTCAAGCTAAACCTAAGCTCAGAGGTTGTGCGGAATGCAAGTGACTAAGCCAGTCACTTCCATTCCTACTCTCTGCTTTCCACTCCCCCCAAAACCGTCTGGTTTATCTTTTCCTTTACCCCTCCTTCCCCTTCCCCACTAACCTCTCCTCCTTCTCTACCCCCCTCTCCTCCCCAATCCACCTGCCTCTCCTCCCGGGCCTGCTTCGTGTCATCCTTAAGCTCTGATTGGTTGAGAGGTCCGTCCTTCCGCCCTGCTGCTGGCATGCGCACCTCCTGCCAGGTGGGGGGGCGGGGGAGGGGAGAAAATGGGGAAGGGGGAGGAGGAGGAGGAAGGGGAGGGAGGAGGGGGAAGGGAAGAAATATTCGAGTTGACTCGGATATTCCTTCCGCCCTGCTGCTGCAGACAGACGCACCTCCAGCGCCCCAGATGGGGTGGCGGGGGAAGGAGTGAAGGGGGGAAGGGGGGATGGGGAAAGGAGAGGGGAAGGGGTGGGGGAAAAGGGAGAGGCGTAGCGTAGGCAGGGGAATAGGAAGGGAAAGGGAGTCAGGAAAAGCAATTCAGCCTGTTAACCCACCAGAGCAGTCATGATGCAGCGTGGCTTGATGAGTTCGAAAATTCATGTTGATGCCTTCAGGAGTCAGTAGGATTCTTTCAGACCTTTGAGTCGACTCAACAGAAACGCTGATTCATGTTGATCCCTGCAAGTCTACAGTAGAAGGACTTCGCTCTACCTCAACCACCTGATTCGCTCTGCTGCATCCACCTGATTCGCTCTGCTGCATCCACCTGATTCGCTCTGCTGCATCCACCTGATTCGCTCTGCTGCATCCACCTGATTCGCTCTGCTGCATCCACCTGATTCGCTCTGCTGCATCCACCTGATTCGCTCTGCTGCATCCACCTGATTCGCTCTGCTGCGTCCACCTGATTCGCTCTGCTGCGTCCACCTGATTCGCTCTGCTGCATCCACCTGACTCGCTCTGCTGCATCCACCTTACTCGCTCTGCTGCATCCACCTGACTCGCTCTGCTGCATCCACCTGACTCGCTCTGCCGGAATCACCTGGATCGCAATGACATCAGGCAAGTGCTTGCAGATAAAGCCAATCAACTCCGCCCGGTTGTGCCTTAATCGGAGCAGGAAACTGTCGGAGCAGGAAGACATGATTCTGGGAAGGAGGGTGGTGGGTAGGGGGCAGGGTGGTGGGGGGTGGGGAGAGAGTGGGGGAAGAAGTGGGGAAGACCAGACAGGGGAAGACCAGACAGGTGAAGACCAGACAGGTGAAGACCAGACAGGTGAAGACCAGACAGGTGAAGACCAGACAGGTGAAGACCAGACAGGTGAAGACCAGACAGGTGAAGACCAGACCGCGCACCTCAACGGCTCTTGATGCGCAACTCATTCCTTCTGCGCTGCTTCGCCGTCCTTCGCTGATTGCCGTTGCTCGCCCTGATCCCCACATTCCTGTTGCTCCCCTCTTTGCTCTCTTCCTCGCTCCCCACCTTGCTCCCCTCCGTGCTCCCATTCTTTCCCCCCTGAATTCCTCTCGATAGAAGCTGCCTCACTTGGGCTATTGTTCTCCGCACGTCCAATCGCTACTGCTACTCCGACGTGAGGTTGACCTTCACAACCGATATCTCTCCGCATTCTCATGCCTGTCCCAGTCGCGTCGCGACTGCTATCGTGATCACTTTTCGGCGAGATTCTATCGCGAACGGATTAGCGACAGTACTCCGCGGGGGAGTCTTCCGCAGGACGTTTGACTCCTCCAAATGTTTCCCCCTCCCTTGCGCATTTCCCCCCAGCTCTGCGCCCGTCCGTCATCTCCCCACCTTTTTCTGCAGTTCCCCCGTCCCTCTCCGCCATTCCGCCATCTTTCCCTGCCTCGATTGCTCTATGTCCTTCCGAAGCGGTTGAGGTTCTTTCAGGAGCCGTTGCTTTCGCGACCGGCTTGAAGTAGCGTTTCATGGCGGGAATGGAAATTGCGAGCAGCAAAACCAACGGTATAATTGAAAGGCGAAGGCAGGAAAATTAGCAAGTGTTATCTGTCTGTACTCCTTATTGAAGTTGCCCGTTACGTCCTCACACCTCATTCCAATAACGGATTCCCAACATAGGAGTTGGAGAATGAATTTTGCACACAAGCTTTTACGACATTGATATCGTGCTTTGTTGTGTTCCTGTCACCTGTCACCGGGAGTGGCGCGTAGTATTGCCGCGGGCCTCGCTATTGAGCAGCTTATCTGACCCCCACCTCGACGTTGAGTGGTTGGGTCAGATTTCACGGCTGATCATACGGTAACATGAGTGACGGATGCAGACAGTGTTTGGACTTGATTCGTTCTGTGAAATGTGGTTGCCAGTTTGGGCCAGCCGTTACAGAAACTTCCGGTATAATTGGAACTAAATGATACAGCTGATTGGGGCTGGTGTTTCGCTGACCAGATACCACCACCGTATTGGCCAGACGAACCTGTTGCTGATCTGGTGCATTGAACTGACACCACGAAACAGCGCGATTGCCGGAGCGCGTGAAACCAGGTGCGTGCTTGTCACGTCGAGGTCCAGCACATTCCCCCTTTTCCCCAACCACCATACCTCCCCGTGTCGTGTGGAGCCCCCTGCATTCCGCCTAGCGCACCTTCCCCGCATTGGAGCGGAGCCCGGTACGGATCGCAGTCCGCCTAGAGCCCCAATGTGATCAGGCGCGCGCAGCACTCCCTTTACCTGCCACCTGCCATTGTCTGCACGCCTCCCCCGCTACTCTCGACCCGAGGCTGCGTTTGGGTGCCAGACTCAGCAGATCTCCGCCGTTCATCTGCCCCTAGGGGCTGACTGGTTTGTTCTGGCCGTCCGTCTGTTCCGGAACCCACTTCAGTTCGGAACCAACCACATCCGCGATTTCGTATTTCGATTCCACTCCATTGCTTCATCCTCGAATTGTGCGTGCAAACTTCACTCTACGCGGTGGAGTACGTTACCAAAAATAAATCGCACGTTCCTAAGCGTTTCGACGAGGTGCAATGGTGTCTGCGGGACACCAGCCCCCAGTGAACCCGCCTGCCTTGCCTGTGTCTTCTGAGCAGCATACCCTACGCCGCTGCCTCGCATTACACACGGGGCGAGGCAACTGATTAGGTGCGGCTGATTAGCCTCGAAAATACGACACATTGCTTCTGTGCCATCGTAAGTACGCTGCTGTGTTTCCATGTGTTCACGAACATGCTGCTCTCACCTCCACCAGTGCGACGCGATGCTTACTTGCGACCTGGTTCTCTCCGAAGCTGTGTCCGTGGCTAATGCATGCGTTCATCAGTCGTGCGCGGCGATGAGATTTTAGTTTGTGATGTTCGCGTTGACTAAATAACTTATCTGGAGCTCATAATCGCTCTGCAAGAGTGACAACGCCACGTCGGCTTGCTCCTCGTTGGTCAGTCCTTCTTCACTCGCAACGGCAGAGTCGTGTTACTACAAGTCATCGTAGCGTTTCTCCTATCACGGAAGCCATCTCGTCGAAACTGTTATCGCTGACTGACCCAGAGATGCTTAGTCAACGCGGCTTTATTAGCATGCTGCCGAACGTTTACACAGAAGGGCGACTCGACCGTAGCCAGAGCTCTCCCGCGCAATGAAAGATTAGGGTTAAATGGCTATTGACATGATTCACGGCGTAGAACGCGTTTAGACCTACTACCCGGAGTAAATGCTGATGGACGAAGATTCCGCGAAGCTCGAAGAGGAGGCGAATAGGCGGAAGCGCGCAGAGCAGCATCAGAGGGAGGCTGATGTCAGGCTGACGTGGCTCAAGGAGGAACGGAGATGCGGAGAGGACGGAAGCGAGTATCTGGAAGGGGAAGGGGACGAGGATGGGGACGAGGATGGAAATGAAGGAGAAAAGGAGGAGGAGGAGGATGGTGAGGTGGAAAAGGAGAAAAGGGAAGAGGAGGTGACGGAGGATGGCGAAAAAGCGGACGGGGCAGGGGGGGAGGACGAAATGAAGAGGGAGGAGTGTAGGGAAGGGGAGGAAGGGGAGGAGGGGGAGGAGGGGGAGGAGGGGGAGGAGGGGGAGGAGGGGGAGGAGGGGGAGGAGGGGGAGGAGGGGGGAGAGGGGGAGGTGAGTGTGGTGGAAGCGCTGCGGGAGGAGGTGGAGATGGAGCGGATACTGCGCGCATTGGCGGAAGATGGCATGAAGGTGCGGCGGACGGGGGAACGGGGTATGGCGGAGTGCGGTGCGTGGGGGGAGGGGAGGGGTAAAGGGAGGGTCCGGCGGGCTAGAGGGCGTACGTTGGAGTCTCAGAGGGGCGGTGGAGAGGGCGAATGTCAAATACAATTTTCCCTTATCTGTTCTGCTCTTCTAGTCTGTGGTGAATCCTTTTCCACACTCTCGTCTCCCCCCTTTCCCACACTCTCGTCTCCCCCCTTTCCCACACTCTCGTCTCCCCCCTTTCCCACACTCTCGTCTCCCTCCTTTCCCACACTCTCGTCTCCCCCCTTTCCCACACTCTCGTCTCCCCCCTTTCCCACACTCTCGTCTCCCCCCTTTCCCACACTCTCGTCTCCCCCCTTTCCCACACTCTCGTCTCCCCCCTTTCCCACACTCTCGTCTCCCCCCTTTCCCACACTCTCTCGCCTTCCCCCCTCTCCCACCCTCTCTCCGACCACAGGCGGTGGAGCAGCAGATGGAGAGGCTAAGGGACGAGGTCAGCAGGTACAAGGGGCAGCACCAGCGAGACACGGAGACGGTCAGTCGCCTCTGCCTTCCCTCCCCTTGCGACTTTCAGCCGGCTCTGCCTACACTGTCGGTGTGTATCGCTCCCCTACAATGGGCTAAGGGAGGTGGTCAGCAGGTACGAGGGGCAGCACCAGCGAGACATGGAGACGGTCCCTCAGTCGCCTCCCCCCTCTCTCGCCGTGTGACTTTCAGTTATCTCTGCCTATACTCGCCTTTGTGGTTAGCCACTCACTCGTCTCACTCGCCTCCGCCTTTACTCTCCTGTGCGACGCTCAGTCGTCGAGATAGTTATCCATGCATATATGGTCACTCTCCCCGCTTGCACTGTTTTCTGGGCGCCTCAAAAGCGTTACCCACGCAGATGGTCACTCTCCCCCGCTTGCACTGTTCACACCTCATCCTCCCCCTTTCGCCTTCTCCCCGTCTTCCCTTTCTTCTCCCTATCCCAGGTGTTTCAGCTGCAGTCGTCGCAGCGGCAAGCGCTTACTTTTGAGGCGCCTCAAAAGTCGTCGCAGCGGCAAGCGCTGCAGGAGGTGTAGTGAGCGCCTCTTGTGCTCCTCTCTCCTGCGCACCTCCTGCACCTCCCCGCACGGCACTGTTCCCTCCCTTTCTTCCTCGGCACTGTTCCCCGCGCATCCTCCCCCTGTCCTCCTCTTCCCCTCTCCATTGCTCTCCTAACCCAGGTGTTTCAGCTGCAGTCATCGGAGTGACAAGCGCTGCAGAAGGTGCAGGAGGAGCGCGAGCAGCGCGATCGCCTCTTGTGCTCCTCTCCCTCCCTTCTTCCTCTGCTCCTCTCTTACACCACTGTTGCCCACTCATCCCCCCCCTCTCCCCCTCTCCTCGTTTCCCTTCTCCCTCTTCCCCTCAACCCAGGTGTTTCAGCTGCAGTCATCGGAGTGGCAAGCGCTGCAGGAGGTGCAGGAGGAGCGCGAGCAGCGGAGGGAGTTAGAGACTTCCTTAATCTACCTCCACCACACGCTCCTGGAATTGCTACCGCCAGACCTCCTAACCGACCCGCCTGTCTTCCACACCTACTCCCACCCGCCTATTATCCCACCGGACCTGCTCTCGAACCTCTCAGAAACTCCGTCGCAGCTTCTCACATCGGACGGCCATGCAGACCCTTGTGACCGCCATATGATTCCTCCCGACCTCCTCTCAAATCTCTCTGAAACGCCATCGCAGCTTCTCACATCGGGCGTCCTCGCAGACTGCTCCGAACCTTTTGAGACGTCTCACCAGCTGCCAGATCTGTCGGAAGCACCGTCACTGGTTTTTCCATCGGACAGTCACGCAGGCCCGTCTGTCCCTTTTGAGACGTCTCAGGAGCCGTTGGATCTGCCGGAAACGCCGTCACCACAAGCCCTCCCAACGGCCGTTTACAGTGAACCTTCTGAGCCGCCGGCCTTGCATGACGCTCCATGCCCTTCTGATCCTTATGCTCCTCAGCCTCTTCAGCGGGCAGATGAGCAGAACAGCGCGAGTGCTACAAGCGAAGGCTATACAGACGAGGGGTCTAGTGGTACTAACGAGGATTCCATCAGCGAGGGCTGTGCCAAGGAGGCTACGTGCGGCTCCAGCGCTCAGGAGTGCGGATGTGGACAGGCAGGTAATGCCAGCACCAGCAGCAGCGCCAGCAGCAGCACCAGCAGCAGCACCAGCAGCAGCACGCCGCTGTTTGCGCCTGTCTCAGAGCACACCGCCTCTCCTCCGCCTCCCCTCGCAACCCTCTCGCTCCCTCTCTTCGCCTCTCGCCTTCAACAGCTTCATATCGATTCGCCCTCCGCACTCTCTCCTCCTGCTCCTTCATCTTCTGCTGATGCTGCAGCAGCTGCTGCTGCTGGTGCTGCTGCTTCTCCTGCTCCTCCTCTCCCTCTTGTTGTGTCTGAATCTGAGTCCGCATCTACATCTGAGCCTGCTTCCCCGTCAACCCCAAGGGCTCCAGTCGAGGCTCCTGCTTCTGCTCTACCTACTGCTGCACCGCCTCTCACCTCTCAGTCAACCACAGCTGTTGCTATCGCTACTGCTGTGGCGCCTCATGACTCTCTCATCCCCAACTCGTCGGCCCCACCTGCTGCTTCTTCTTCTTCTGCTTCTGCTGCTGCTGCTTCTTCTGCTGCTGCTGCTTCTTCTGCTGCTAATGGCTGCTCTCCCCGCCATGCCACCACGCCGCCTACCCAGCAGGCCTGCCACCACTACCCCCCACCTTGCCTGCCCTGCCTACCTCTCAAGGCTCTTCTCCTCTCCCGCTTCCTCCACCAGCCCTCCCCCCTCCCACCTGCTGCTGCGCCTTCTTCTGTTGGTGCTGATTCTTCTGCTGCTGCTGTCTCTTCTGCTGCTGTTGCATCTGATCCTTCTGCTGCTCCAGCAGCTGCTGCGGCGGTGGCGGCGTTGCTTGCCCCTGGTCTGACAGGCAGGCTGGTGCGTTGCGGATGCACTCGAGCCTCGTCTGCCGCTGCTACTGCCCCTGCCTCTCCTCTTTACCCTGCTGCTCCTGCTCCTGCTTCTCCTGCTGCTCCAGCTACTCATGCTGCTCCTCATCGTGCTAATCCTGTGGCTGCGGTCATTGCTGCACCTGCAGTGAGGAGGGGGGAACGTGCAGGGGAAGGGGAAGGGGAAGGGGAGGAGGTGCATTGGGTGAGAGAGGGTTGGTTGAAATGGAAGGTTGGTGGGGAGAGGGCAGGAGACGGGGTCGAAAGGATGGGACGGGGGATTGGGAGGAGAAGTGGAGTGAGGACGGTAGGAGAAGTGGGGCAAAGGGTGGAAGACGGGGAAGAAGAGGTGGCAAATGGGATGAAGCACTGGAGGAGCAGTGGAGCAAGTATGGGAGGGTTTGGCAGGAGCGAGCAGCAGAGGATGCGATGTGGGCGGTGTGAAGCCCTGGAGGGGGCAGGAGCAGGGGGGGTGAGAGGGGGAGGGGCAGGGGGAGGAGGAGAGGTGGATGAGAGTGAGAAGTCTGCGATGCAGAGTGATGCTTCTATGCGTGTGTTGGGGAACGGTGCCATCCCGCAACCTGCCCTTCCCAGGTCTACCTCCCCCAAATCTACCCTCCCCGAGTCTGCCCTTTCCGAATCTCCCCTCCCCGAATCCTCCGTTCCTGAATCTGCTGTCGCCCCGTCACTGTCCCCGCTGGTGCCTGTGCTGCTGCTGGCTCGTGTGGCATGCCCGTGCTGCCAGCTGGAAGGGCTGCAGTGGTTGTGCGAGGGTTGTGGGGCCAAGGGTCGGTGGGACGGAGAGAGAGACGGGGGGACAGGGTATCGGGTGAAACAGGTAGAGGAAGCGAGAGAGGAAGAGAAAGAGGAAGACAGAGAGGAGGAGAGAGAGGAGGAGAGCGAGAAGGAGAGAGGAACCGATGGAAAAAGGGAGAGAGTGGAGGAGAAAATGGTGCAGGTGAAGGAGGTGAGAGGGGAGGAGTCAGGGGAGGTGAGAGGGGAGGATTCAGGGGAGGAGAGCAACAAGGGGATTCACAGGAAGGGGGGTAGAGGGGGGTTAGGCTGGAATACCAAGCAACCCCAGAACGGGATACGGGCGGGGATGAGAGGAAAGAGCAGGCAGGTTTTTGAGACATCTCAAAAATCGTCCTCTGAGACGTCTCAAGACTTGAATACCAAGCAACCCCAGAACGGGATACGGGCGGGGATGGGAGGAAAGAGCAGGCAGGTTATCAAGGAGAAGCTTCCTGTGGAAGAAGGGAAGTGGGGGGTGAGTAGGAAAGGGGGTAGAGAGGGTAAAGGTTGTAAAGGGGTAAAAGGGGGTAAGGGAGCGAAGGGAGGGAAGGGAGGGAAGGGAGGAAAGGGAGGGGAGGATGAGGAGGGAGAGGAGGGAGGGAGGCGGGGTGGTTCTTGCTGCCGCTGTGATGACTGTGCTGGATTGGACCAGGCGTGGTGTGAGCAAGAGCACTGGCAGTGGCAGGCGCATGCGCATGCGCATAGGCATAGGCGTGAGCATGAGCATGGGCATGGGCATGAGCATGGGCATGGGCATGAGCATGGGCATGGGCATGAGCATGGGCATGGGCATGGGCATGAGCATGGGCATGGGCATGAGCATGGGCATGGGCATGGGCATGAGCATGGGCATGGGCATGGGCATGAGCATGGGCATGGGCATGGGCATGGGCATGGGCATGGGCATGGGCATGGGCATGGGCATGGGCATGGGCATGGGCATGGGCATGAGCATGGCCGTGGGCAGGGGAGGGAGCATGGGATGGAGCATGTGGGTGACGTTGTGAGTCAAGAGCGGCAGCGCCATCAGCGTCAGTATCAGCATCGGCATCAGCAGCAAAACCAGGAAAAACTGCAGGATCATCAGCAGCAAAACAGGCAGTATCCGCAGGAGCATACGCAGCAGCTGCATTATGATCATCACCAACATCAGCAGCAGCACCAGCCGCAGCAGCAGCAGCAGCACCTGTCCCATCAGTCCTTCTGCTGCAACCACAATCGACCACTTTCTTCTGACACCCATAGCCATTCTGACCATTCACACCCCCATGCTGACCTTACCGCATTCCATTGTGCCAGAGCCCCCCACCCATGGCATGGTCCATACCACCCATTGATGCCAAATCCACCTTTACCGGACCAGCCTGCCCCGTACCTACCGATACCGAACCAGCATGGCCTCGACCATTCTTTCCCTCCCCCGAACCATGATACGGTCAACCAAGCTGCTTTCACCCAACCTGGAGCACGCCGACCTGTCGGATTCCATCCTATGGTGTACCAAGCAGGTCCGCACCACCTGTTTCACCCTGTGGCACCACATTCAACTGCGCATGCGCCGCTTGCTTACAATCCCATGCCGCCCCACGCTGCTTCGCTCCAGCCGCTTGCTTACTCAGGTGCAGCATCCTCGCCCCACTACCAGCAGCAGCAGCAGCACCCGCACCCGCAGCAGCAGCACCACCATCAGCAGCAGCACCAGCCGCATGGTCATCGGAAGCAGTATCAGCAGCACAACGAGCAACAACATCATCTAAACCAGCACCATCACCAACACCCGTACTGCTGTTACCAGAGCCAGCATGAGTCTCATTATCCAGCCCAACCCACTGCCTCCTCTCACCCGCAGCTCGCACAGCCACCGCTTGACAGGGGCTCGGTCAAAAAGCCTGAGAGGCAGAATCGGCAGCATGAGATGCGTGATAGCCACCACCATGGGGAGCATGTCATGTATCCTAGTGAAATGTGTAGTAGCCAGCAGCATCGGGAGCATGTCATGTGTGATAACCATGAGGATCAGCAGCATGTGGCTGCGCACGAATGGGATGGGAGTGGAGGCTTGGTTCCGCGCTTTGCTTCGTCTCCAGCCCTCCCGCACCTCCTCCCAGCTTCGCCGTCGTTCGATTATTGGAGCAGAGGTGGTGGGAGTAGCAGCAGCGGCAGTAGCAACTTCGGAAAGAGGCGGCCCTCAAGCAGCAGCAGCAGCAGCAGGTACAGCAGGCATTTGAGGAGGCCTAGTGAGTTTTCAGAAGGTGTTTGTGTGCTGGAGGAGGAAGAAGAGTATGAGGAGGAAGGGGAGGAAGAGGACGAAGAGATGATGGTTACTGGGGAAGAGGAAGAGAGTGCTGATGCTGCTGCAGCTGGCGCTGCTGTTGGCGGTGGTGCTGGGTCCTCATTGGCTGGTAACAAGCTGGACAGGTGGTGGAGCTGTGTGAGCAGCAGCAGTGAGTTTCATTGTGGTGCTGCAGGTGCTCCTGATGACGCGTCCCCTGCTGGTTCCAGAACCACTTACCGACTGTGATTGCTGGCTTAACAGGAGTAGTCTGGACAGGTTTTATCAGGTGCTACCCTCACGCCTTGAAGATTTTCTCCCTTTTACTCATGGAAGCTTGTGAGTGCACTACAAAGATTAGACTGGCTAGTTAGGTACCTACGGTACTATGCATGTATGTACCGTACTTGGTTTGTAGATGAGCAGATGGATTGTTGCTTTGTATGCGAGCGGTTTGTATGTATCTAGTTGTATGACGTTAGTGTTATAGGATGACGTAACGTTTAGCTCTTAGTGCAGCTCGTGGAAACTTAGTGCAACTTGTGGGCACTTAGGGAACATTCCTGCAGGGACATTTGTGTCACAATCCCAATTTTGGGAAGATACCGCGGTGTTTGAAGCGGTTTGATTCAGTACAGAGCGGTACAGTAAATAAAATTGGGATTGTGACAGGAATGTACCCTTAGTGCATCTTGTAGGCACCCAGTGCAGCTCGTAGGCACTTAGTGCAGCTCGTGGCACTTAATTAGCTCGTGGGCACTTGACGCAGCTCGTGGGCACATAGTGCAGCTTGTGGGCATCTAGTGCAGCTCGTGGGCACCTAGAGCAAGGCTTCTAGACACACAACCTCTGAATGTGACTATCGTGACGAGCTTGTGGAGCGGCCAGCTACTTGATTACTCCAAAATACGGGACGCATGTTTGGTGGTTACCACAACGTCAGCGGGACATACGCATATTTGTCTACTACCTAGTAGAGAATGATGAGCGATTGCTGTTAAATATTTAAGTTCGAAAGCAGGGACGGTAGTCTGCACAATGTACTATAGTTTCACAAAATTTGAACAAGGGGTGCATCCACCATTTACTTTCTCTTGACGGGGTCGAAGGTAGACACGCCAACGATAGCTACGGCAATGCCTCCCAGGACAACACCGCCAGCAATCACGCTGTTGATCAGGTTCTGCAGTGAGGGGGACACGCCGGGCTGGGCAGCCTCAGCAATCTCGGGGATGATGGCAGCAGCGATCAGAGCAGCGGTGACGGGGAGAGCGATGTTCTGCTCCTTCTTCGCGCTGCAAAACAAGGGAAAGGCAGAAACAAGGGATTTAAGACTCTAGTACACCAAATAATGTAGCCTTAAATCACACCAAACTTGGACCAATTTAATAGCGACTAGCGAGGCCGAAGCGGATGCTGACGGGACGGAACCGCTGAAGTAAGATTATTAGTGTTGTGTCCGCAGACCTACCTCATCACAACGCGGCTCTTGTTGCTGACGAGCATGGGGGTGGCGGACAACTTGCTCGACGCAACGCTCTTGTTAGCCAAGAGGCTGGTGGGAGCCACCACGGAGGCAGAGCAGACAGCGAAGGCAGCCATGGCTGAGAGTAGGCTTTGGCTGGATGAGCTGACTGCGGAGAAGAATCTGGTGTGGAAGCTGGAGTATTCGGTGACCAGACAACAGATTGTCTTGAGAGGTGTAGGCAGGGAATCAAATTGGAGTTCACATCCGTGCCTGCGCCACGAGGCGGAAGCGGGTGTGTGGTGGGGAGATCAGCGAGGCTTACTGGGAGGCCAGCGATTTCCAGATTCCCGAAGAGGATAAGGCACGCTTGGCGTGATCTCATTCGTCCGTTGATTGGCTCGGCGTTACCTTTGCGATGGGGCTCGGGGTTCTCGGAGCCTGAAGTGGCGAATGGTAGTGACGAAATCTTGGGTTTTATGAGGTGATCGCGAGCGAAACAATCTGCTGTAACTGACAGGTAGGATAGATGTTACCGATGACAGACAGTTCTCATTCCGTAAAAGAGCACTCACGTACGGTACAGATGTATGATGAGCACACAATAAACCCTTCTAACAAATAATTTATTATCTTACCTGTTGATCATGCTTCATCACATTCATTTGGGTTCGCAAGGCTCACAGACTTTTGAGATTTATAAAAACCTGTAACCATTTTTTCGTATATTAAAGCGATTGGCCCTTGCCAGGTCATCTTCATATAGCTCCAAATACAGCTAGCGATAATCAATCGGGCACTGGTAATATGGTTCGTTGAAGCATCCACCAAACACAATATGCCGTCCCCAGTAGTACAGCTCCACGTCCAGTGTATAGTGCCTCCGAAGGAAAGAAGAAGTGTGGTGCTTGACTTGAATGCTCTCTCAATCTGCAAAATGAACTGTCGAAGTTTGGAAAGCATGGACTGTTACTACGTCAATTCAGACACCCGTATTTCCTACGAAGGACCCTCCTTCCTACCAAACTTACTCCCTACGTTGAAGCTTGTAATTCACAGTTTATCACAAGCTTCCTTGAACCCAGCTTGCAAGTCTTCTGCTGCCTTCACCGATGCAAGCTTGAAGGTCACGGGCCTTGGGGACTTGTCAAGCGTGGTGCCGGCAGGAGCAGTGTCATCTTGCTGCAACCAAGCCCAGTGAACATAAGTCACACAACAGATACAAGACACAGCGTTACATACATGCATGCACAAGTGAAGCGTGCAAATGAGGTGGCGTGTTGAGTTCGGTGCATGGACTAAAGATTACGAGTACAGGATGTACACATGACTGCAGCACGGTAGTGATGCTGTTCTTCTTGAGCATGATCGAGAAAGACCAAGCTGGAATGGTAGATTATTGTACACATGAGTGCATGACGTACACATGACTGTAGCACGGCGGTGATGTTGTTCTTCTTGAGCATGATGGTTATGCCCTTGTATAGAGGTGCGTTCAGCATCACCTTTCCCACCTGCCCATCGGAGAATGTACATGGAAGACCAAGAGACAAAGAGAACAAAAAAAAGGGGCATGCTTGAAATTTCCTTGTACAGCGCTGCTACTTTGTACACTCGCATGCACGTGATTGAAGAAGTGTTCTGAGACGTCTCAAAACACTCGCATGCATCACATCGACTCGCCTCGCCTCCCAGCCCATCCCATCCCCCCACTTACTAATAACAATCGACCCAGCAACCCCAGCACACCCAGCCACCTGTCTCCCCAAAAATCCCACTCACATCATTCCGGAACAGCACTGAGGCGCGCTAAGTCTCCCCTCCCTTGTGCACCTTCACTACCACCTAAAGCCACGAGAGCACTGAGCACTCTTTCATCCCTGCACTCACAACTCCGGAATGCCCCCCCCAATACCACCCCAGTTCCACCCTCCCTGCACTCACATCGTTGCGGAACAGAACTGACGCGCGCAGGGACGCCCCTCCCTTGTGCAGCTTCACAATCACTGTGCCGCTGCCCTTGTCCTTCCATGCTGGGCCCTCCTCGCCCTTGGCCTTCTGTGCTCACTCAGAGAACACAAGAGTGAGGGATGTAAGAGACGATGTTTAAGTTGCCTCAAGGTTTGTGCCACTGCCCATGCCGGGCCCTCCTCGCCCTTGGCCTCCTGTGCTCGCTCGGGGACGACATCCAAAGGGGGAGATTGAGAGAGCACAGCAACAAGGGGGAGTGAGTGAGTAAAAGGATGATTTTTGGGGCAGCTCGAAAACTGTGCCGCTGCCCTTGTCCTTCCATGCTGGGCCCTCCTCGCCCTTTGCTGTGTTCACTCGGGGAACACAGCAAAAGGGAGGGAGGTGCAGGAGGGAAGAGCAGAATGGCTCGGGTGTTTTTGAGATTTCTCAAAAGCACCCAGCATTCTCAAGACGCACATAGCACATGGCATATCCCCAGGTTCTCGAGACGAATGATGCACCTACCTACCTGCACGTAGATCTTGGCGCGTGCCTCGTGCACTATATCCTCGCTCATGAAGAAGGACAGCAGTAGGCAGAGCCGCCTTTGGCAAAGGGACGATAGTCAACTAGTGAAAAAAAGTAACCCTTGGAAACTTGATTGAGATCCGAACGTACAGCTCAGTTCCAGGTACTCAAAACGAAGGATGCGCCTACCTGCACGTAGATCTTAGCGCGTGCCTCATGCACTATGTCCCCCCCACTCTCCTCCACTCTCTTCCGCTCTCTTCCATGGTCTTCCATGCTCTGTACTTAACCATGCGTCATCCTACCTGCACGTAGATCTTAGCGCGTGCCTCATGCACTATGTCCCCCCCACTCTCCTCCGCTCTCTTGACTGACGGACTCCCAGGTCCCTGCTCTTCTTCCTCCTCCTCCTCTTCTGCCAGAAGCAAAGGACGGAGAGTGGGGGGGGCGAGGGAGGAACAGGGTTGGTACTTGAATGAGTTGTTAAGGGGAATGGCAGCACTTCTCACTCCTCTGCTCTCTTCACTGACGGACTCTCAGGTCCCTGCTCTTCCTCCTCCTCCTCCTCCTCTTCTGTCAGAATCAAAGGATGGAGAGGGGGGGGCGAGGGAGGAACAGGGCTGGTATTGGAATGAGTTGTTAAGGGGAATGACAGCACTTCTCACTCCTCTGCTCTCTTCACTGATGGACTCGCAGGCCCCGGCTCTCCCTCCTCCGCTTCCTCTGACAGATGCAAAAGGGGAAGAGGGGGAGGGAGAGAGCGAGGAACTGGGTTGGGATGGATGGGTTGTTAATGATGGGAAGAGTAGCACTTCTCACTCCTCTGCTCTAATCACTGATGGACTCTCAGGTCCCTGCTCTTGCTTCTCAAACCGCTCACCTTTGGCTGTGCCACCAACAGCAATGGGTCCAAGCGGTGCTACTGCAGGGAAGCCAAATGCGGGGGCCGCGGATGGTGCAGCTGAGAAGGCGAATGGGCTGGCTGACGCTGAGAAGGGCACAGAGAAGGACACTGGCGCAGGTGCTGCCGCAGCTGTAGCGGCTGTAGCACCCTTAGAGGCTGCCGCGGCTGTGGCAGCAGCAGGAGGAGATGAACCAGCACCAGGGGAAGATGAAGCAGCAGCAGTGGCAGCAGCAGGGGGAGAACCGGCAGCAGGAGCAGTAGGAGAGGACGTGAGTCCAAAGCTGACAGTGCCAGTGGTGGGAGAGGAAGATGAGGCAAGCCCGAAACTGGCAGTGCCGACAGCGGCAGCAGGAGCAGCGGCAGGGGGAATGGAGGAGGAAGGTGAGAAGAAGCCGCTAGGAGGTGGGAAAGGGGGAGGGGCGCCGGGTCTTGGGGACCACATGTTGACCCCTACAGGCCCGAACATAGGAATGGAGGGAGCAGTGGCGGTGGTAGTGCCAGTGGTGGTGCCAGTGGTGAAGCTGGTGGGGATGCTGGCAATCTTAGTGGTAGTGGTGTTGGCAGTGGTAGTGGTGGGTGCTGCTGCGGTTGCTGGGGAGAAGGCGAATGGGGATGTGGTGAACGCAGGGGCGTTGAATGAGGTTGCAGGTGCAGTTGGTGCGGTGGGAGGCGGTGGAGAGGCGGATTTCGATTTGATCCAGTCAACGACGTCCTTGTAGGTGGTCTGGGGAAGGCAAGAGGGCGTGTGGGAGTGTGTGTAGAGGTGCATATGAGGGGGTGCATGAGGGTGTGTGTGTGAGAGTGGGCAAGAGGGAGTGTGTGTGAGGGTGTTTATTAAGACGCCAAAAGGATCAATGGGTGTGTGGGGTTGTGTTTGTGGGGGATAGATGAGAAACGGGAGGGCAGGGAACGAATACTATGACATGGCATGTTCACCATGCGGGTGGTGGCATGGTCAATTCAGTCGTGCACCCCATCACAAGGGAGTCAATGCAGTCAAGCTTAGCATGAATTTTCATCAAATACCACCATGGCAATGCAAGTGTTACAGCGTTACCATGAGGGTGGTGGCATGGTCTATGTAGTCGTGCACTCCATCACGAACGAGTCAATGTTGGCAAGGAAAGCCATCCCATTACTCCACCAATGCATGTGTTACAGCGTTACCATGAGGGTAGTGGCATGGTCTATGTAGTCGTGCACCCCATCGCTCCACAGCTCGTCAGCATGCTCCTTCTGCTGCTGCTCCACCCAACTGCATGTGCACAGCACACATGCATAAAAATGCATATGCACATGCATACACACCCATACAAACATGCATCCACATGCACATGCACATCCACATGCACATCCAAATGCACATCCACATCCACATGCACATCCACATCCACATCCACATGCACATGCACATGTACACACACACACTTCCAAACATGGGCACATGCATGCATGCACACGCGAACGCACTCACACCAGAGAAATGCGCAATGCAACACGAGGTACACGAACGTCATCAGTAAAAGAAGCTGCTGAAGTGACCTATGCGAATGCGTGTCGACTCACAAGGCACCACACGAGAGGAATGCGCAATGCAACACGAGGAGGTACACGAACGAACGAACGAACGAACGAACGAACGAACGAACGTCAGCAGCGAAGCTGATGCAGTGACCTATGCATGTTACCAACTAACGTGGCGAGCTGCATATTACATCCCAGTGTTACCCAGCGAAATGACCAACGCAGGTTACCAACCTGGCAAATTGCATGTTGAGTGCGCGGACAGTGTTCAAACACTCCCATGGTTGAACCCAGTCAGGCTATGCCCAACGAATTGGCGAATGCGGTTACCAACCTGGCGAACTGCATGTTGAGTGCCCGGACAGTCTTCAGACACTCCTGTGCTCGGGCCTGGTCGGGAAATGCACTTGCTGAATCTGATGCTGGCGCTGATGCTGCATTGTTGGCTGTGTTGGCTGCAGCAGGGAACGGAGCGGTGGTGAAGGATGGAAGACCGTTGAATCCGGTTGCTGGTGGTGTGTCTGTTGCTGCTCCTCTCTTCTGCTGGTGGTTCTGCAAAAGATACCAATCAAAAGGTAAGTTGGAGGAGGGACGAGGAGTGACGAGGGGGATGGGGAGGAGGAGGAGGAGGAGGAGGAGGAGGAGGAGGAGGAGGAGGAGGAGGAGGAGGAGGAGGAGGAGGAGGAGGAGGAGGAGGAGGAGGAGGAGGAGGATGAGGATGAGGATGAGGATGACGAGGAGTGACGAGGAGGACGAGGAGGACGACGAGGACGAGGGGGAGGGGGTGGACGAGGGACGATGCAATGATAATTCAATGTGGTGGGGGATGGGGGTGTGGAGACGAGTATCTGAAAGAGGCCTTTCCACCCGAGGCAAGAGATCCCCTCGTAACAAAATAATTGCTTTTGAATCACTCAGTGCGGCCGAACGGGAAGCATTCAATCGGATAGCGAAACATTCAGTCAGAAAACCTACAGAAGCGTGTCGCCGGCTGAACGGAGCCGCTTCTTCCTCCTCCTCCTCTTCCACATATCGTCGCTTCCCACCCGCCATGAACCCTCTTCCGCTCACAAAGCCCCTCAATCTAAGTAAAAACTCGCTTCCGAAAGTCCTCAGAATATGTTGTGCGTTGTAACGAAGTAAACAGGTCTTTTAACCGTTTTGACGCAACCTCGATAGTCCCAAAACCTTGTCGCCGATTCGAACAACCCCCCACTCTAAAAATCAGAAAAAAAATATTTCGCCTTTCAGAACAAGTGGCAGCTTGCAGCTGCAGTTGAAGCGAGACTGAAAGCAGCCTTGTGGAGGCAGGCGGATTCGCCGCCGTGTCTAGGCGGGCGAACAGGCCGCCGAATTCAGAAAGGATGTCGTGAAGTGAAGCTGATCAGAAAGGATGGGGTGGGGAGCATAAGGAGGGAGATGCAGTTTTGAGACGAGTCCTGAGTCATGACAGTCCGCCGCCCTGCAATGCGAATAGAGGGAGAGATGCAAGTCCACTGCATATCCCTTTTCTTCCCAATCTGTCAGATGTCGCTTGTAACGGAAAATGCTGGAATTATAGCGGTTCATTTGGTGGCAGGTTAGCTCACACCACATCTTTCAGGGTGTTTGCAGTTTTAGATTGCTTTGCAAATTCGGTAAGAAATCACCAAAATGAAACCGACCTTTGATGGTGTGCTTTTCCAACAGGCAATCAGGAGGAGCTGCAAAGCTGGTGCATTAGAGAGATCAACCGGCATTCTTAGCCCGTCCGCAACAAGCCATCAACATGCAATACAAAGCTCTCCCCCTGCCAGGAAGCTCCTCAGCAGCTTCCCAGCACAGAGAACTACACAATCAGGCTGTGAATGACCCACAACCTCATGACCCAAGACCCATAACCCCCATGCGACCAGACCTGTCCCCTCTAGCCAAGCTCAGGCTCGAGCCTACGGCTTGGATGACCAGGCGTTACAAGATCGAGAGGCCTTCAAAGAAGCAGATGGATGCAGCCGGCATGTGACATGAAAAGCCAGGATGAAGGGCAGTACACTTGCAAGGTCAGGTGAGATGATGGCTATGCTCTTGTGACGGCTGGATGTAGGGCAGTATTGTGACATTCCCAAGGGCGGGCGGGATGAAGGGCTGTATTCAAATGATGTCAGAAGGGTGGGATGAAGGGCAGTATACAGACGTCAAACTCTGGAAGGTACCTCAGGCTCGCCCACACCACTCTCTCATTCTTCCCCCCCTCCCCCCCCTCCTCTGCCTCCTCTGTCTCCTCCTCCTCATCCTCCTCCGCTTTCCCCTCCTCTGAAACCTCTCGCATTGCCGTGTCTACCATGACCTTATCCACCATCTGCCCCTCTTTCACTCCCCCCTCTCCCTCCCCTCTCGCACCCGCACCCCCCTCCCCTCTCGCACCCGCCCCTGGCTCGGGCAATAACCAGTCGGCGAAGCTCACTTCAGCTTCCATCTCAGCCAGCGCCTCAGCAAGCCCGTGTGTGGCGTTGTCGAATGCGAGGAACGTCTGATCCACCACTGGAGGCTCCGCCTTCCTCTTCTCACGCCCCTCCCTCTGCTTCTCCCTTCCCTCCCGCCCCTCCCGCCCCTCCCGCCCCTCCTTCCCCTCCTTCCCCTCCTTCCCTTCCTTCCCCTCCCTTCCCTCCCTTCCCTCCCTTCCCTCCTTCACTCCTCTCCGATCGCTCTGTTTATGGAACCCGTTCTCCCCTGGTGTGCCAGACACGGATTTCCCTACAGAGACAGTTCCACCAGCAGCCACTGCAGCCGCAGGAGCAGCAGCAGCAGCAGCGGCGGCAGCGGCGGCGGCAGCTGGACTAGCGGATTTCTGTCGGGGATCGTTTTCGAGCTTATTTCGGGAATCGTTTTGGGGGTCGTTTCCAGGATCGATTCGGATGTCGTTTCGCGGCTCGCCTGTGGGTCTAAGAGGGGACAGCACCTCAGCTGCTGACGTGTCACTAACACCTGGCCCGCCACTCAGACCCGCCCCTCCACTCGCTGTGCTTCTGCTGTGGTGGTGCCGCCGCTTGCTGCTGCGAGATTTGCCCGACACAGCACCAGACAAGCCCCCGCTTCTGCTGCTGTCTGCAGGCGACGCCCCTGCTGCCCCTGTTCCTGCCCTTGATACTGCCCCTGCTGCTGTCGCTGCTGCTGCTGCTGCTGCCCCTGCTGCTGCTGCAACTCCTGCTGCTGATCCCCCTCCTAAACTAGCAGAACGCCCCACCCCTTTCAGAGCAGCAGCAGCAGCTGCAGCAGAGGCACTCGGACCTGCACTAGGTTCTGAAACACAGGAGGATGAGGCAAGGCGAGAGGGATGATGATGATGATGGTGGCGACGGTCCGAACCCTCACGAATTCCATGCCCTGCCTTATCCCCATCCCCTGCCCCCTGCCCTGCTGCTTGCCCCTCCTGCCCAGCCCGCTGACTGCCGTGACTGCCTTGACTTCCCAAACTGCCCTGACTGCTCTGGCTGCCGTGGCTGCGCTTGTGGCTCTGCAGCAGGTCTCCAACCCGCCCATTCTGCCTCCCTGCTCCGTGCACAGGAGGTTTATCACTCGGCGACACTCCTGCTCGCTTCTCTCCAATTCCGGCCACGCCCGGTGCAGCAGCAACTACAGCAGGTACTGTGGTTGCGATGCTTCCACCTAATGGGGACGCTGCAGCAGTGGCAGGCGCAGCAGCTGCAGCAGCAGCAGGAGCCCCTTTCGCTCCCATTCCTCTCAAATCCACGGCAGATTGAACATCTCTAAGCTCCTCTAAACCCGGCTTTCCGCCAGGTTTAGAAGGCTCTGATGTTGCTCTTACAGCTGCACCTGAGGAGACATGCCCTCCTTCTCCCTGCCGTCCCTTCCCCTCTCTCCTATCCTGCCTATCCCTATCGGTCCCCTCAGTTTCTCTCCGCACCTCCCCCCTCCCGTTGCCCAGTCTCACGTCCTCTGATTTTGAATCGTGATGCCCCCGGCTGTCCAAAGATCGCAGCCGTTGATCTTGACCTGTACGGAGATCAGGGGTTGAGATGGACCCGTGCAGCGGCTTGGGCGCTCCTGGCGCTGAGCTCAAATCCCGAGCGCTACCGTCCGTTGATTTGGAAATCCGTTCGCTTGGGGTTGCAAAGGGACGTGTGTCCTGCTGCTGCTGAGACGCACGTGTATCTTGCTTCTCCTGCTTGCTGGAAGCACGTGCGTCAGCTGTGGTGGTGCCAGTGCCACGTGTGTCCACTGCATTAACGCCACGTGTATCCGGGGGCGCAGGAGCGCGGGGAATGCCGTTTTCCCCATTAGGCATGCCTTGAGGCCCCGCCTTGCGATCCTGCTTCTTGTCTGAGACAGTGGCAGCAGGGGGCGAACAGGGATGGACAGCAGGATGGGGCACAATGGGGCTTGAATCCATGGGGTAGAAAGAAACGGTTACATGAGAACGAGAAGCTGGATTGAAATGGCTTAAGCTGTGGATGCGAGATGGTGCATGGAATGAGGCTGACCTTTATGCTTGTCTCTGTGCTTCTCGTCTCGTCGCTTCTCCTCTCTGCGTTTCTCCTTCTCTTTGTGCCTCTCCTCCTTCCTCTTCTCATCCTTATGCTTATCCTCCTTCTTCTTCTCATCTTTCCTTCTCTCCTCCTTATTCCCCTCTTTCCTCTCCTCCTTCCTCTTCTCGTCCTTTCCCTTCTCCTCCTTCCCCTCCTTCCCTTCCTTCCCTTCCTTCCCTTCCTTCCCTTCCTTTCCCTCCTTCCCCTCTCCACTCGCCTTTTCCCGTTGCTCCTCCTGCTTTCCCACCTCTTTCCGCGATTCACTCTTCTGCTTTTCGCCCTCACCCTGATCTTTCCCCAAACCCTGACCGTCATCCCCCTTGTCTTTGCCTTTCTCCTCCTTTTGAGACGTCTCAAGACCCAAACCCTCACCCTTCTCTCCCTTCTCTCCCTTGCTCTTCTCCTCTTTCCGAGACGTCTCCAAACGCAAACCCTCCCCTTTCTCACCCTTCTCTTTCTCCCCGCCTTTCCCCTTATCCGTGTCCCCGCCCTTCCCCTTCTCCCCGCCCGCCCCCCTCTCCGTGTTCCCATCCTTCTCCTTGCGCGCCGAGTCTTCAGACGACTGCTTCCGGTGCTCCTTAGAATCCTTCTCCTTAGACTCCTTTTCCTTTGATTCCTTAGAATCCTTGGGTTCTCTAGTTTCATTGGGCTCTTTTGACTCCTTGGAACGCTTCTTCTCCTCCTTGCGCCGCTTCCGCTCCTCCTTGTCTTCCCCCTCGCCCCCTTCCCTATGCCGCTTCTTCTTCTTCTTTTTCTTATCCTTGTCTCGATCTTTATCTTTCCCCTCCGATCTCGTCTCCTGGTCGGCAGCAAAAGGCGGGAATGCAGGGTGGACGGATAAAGATGTATTTATTGATCAGGGAAGGGCAATTATATTTTAACGATTTTCCAAATTTTTACATCGAGAAGAACGGGTCACAGGAACGCATTCCGATCCGTGGCGATATACCGCAGTCGGCAAACGGAGAGCGACGACGAGAATCCTAAAGGCAATAATGAAAGATGCACGGACGACGGAGCGACTGGGAGTTAGAGCAATCGAGATTCTGTTCGAAACGGCATTCCGAAAAAGGGGAATGCGGCATTACCCATCTCGAAAAAGATAATAGAAATTTCTGGAAACTCGGAACCACCTCTCAAAAAAAGAACCTCAACAGCTGCCACTCGCCTTGAACACGTCACCGCACCAGACAGTTCCCTGAACCATTCCATCCGACAACGACCACGCTTTTCCCCATACGTTCCTTGGGATTAATTAGGGACGCTAAGAGACAAATCTGGAGGTAACTTTTAAGTCCGACTCAGTATTCACCTCGGCTTCCACCATACGTCCAATTCCCCTTGGGATTACCTTAGGAATGCTTAGAGACGGATCCCGAGGCTTCTTCTGGAACCCCGGCGGGGGATACGGCCAGCAGCGAGACATGGCGATCGGAATCACCCAATCGGCGCCTGCTGGACGCTCGAAAGGTCACCGGCAGGAGGAACTCATCGGACGCGACGCGACGACCTGGAGCTGTTATGATAGGAGCTGAGATAGTAGACGATGCGATAGTAAGAGATTCGGCTGCCGTTGACTGACGCTGCAGCGATCAGCGGCGGCACCCGTTGTGGATGCACTCGTAGCGGCTGCGACACGCCCCTTCCCCAGTGAGCTTCAAAGGCGATGCGCTTCGGCTTTCGACTGTTGCGGCTGCTGCGGTGCCGACGACAAAACGGCCGTGACGTATAGCTTCAGGACGCAGAATAATACCGCTTCGCCGAAAGTCGCCCAAAGGCTACCCGAGGATTATAGCACAATCCAGAATTAGGGCATTGCAGCAGGAATGACCAGCAAGCGTGATCGCTCCCGTGGAAGGAGCGTGACGCGATGAAGCAGCGACCAATGAGGAGAGCGAAGCGTCGCCTACAGGCCGAATTTCCGGACCGCTCCCGAATGGACCTCGCGCGTCAAAATCAAATCAGCAAATCAGCATCGAAGCAGAATCAAATCTGTAGTGAATCTATTTCCAAACCAGATCAGAACTGTCGCTACGATGAATTAATGGCGAGATCCGCGTGACGACTTTCCTCACACTAAGTATCCCGCTTGAGTGCTGAATACGTTTTCTCCCAGACGGCCAAATTAGGGCAAGGGTTCTCGCCTGACCTAAAAAGATCAGCTTAGCCTATCGCGAATTAGGTCAAGCACCGTCAGCCTTCCTTTCCCGATCAGCTCAGTTCGCGATGCGGTAGCCGCCGCCTTCGACAACGTTTTAATTTTCTTTCGTTGCCGCCGCTGCGCCGCCACCTCCGCCGTTCCTGTAGGAAGACGGCGTGACGTGACGTAGCGCGTGGTTATTCAGAGGCCGTCTCGTCCTTAGCAGGCAGCTGAGCTAAAGCTCTAAGCTGTCTCGTGCTGGGAGAGAATCAAACCCTACCAAAAGAAACGGCTTGCTGGTCCTATTTATACTCCTGGCGTCACTTCGCCAAGCACGCCAGGATGAACGCATCCCCTGACAGGGGTTTAGTGCGTTATAAAGGGATATAAATTGTTTCAAAAAGTTTGCGACGGACCAACCAGAAGGTGGTTCTGCTGTTCCCACTGTTCCGCTTCCTCCTGAGCGGAGTCCCCCCATCCATACACCCAACCAGCCAGCGCGCTTCTTCCCCCCGCTTCCCCCATTTTTCCCATGTCCCACTTTCCCCCTGAACTTCACCTTCGAGAATCCCGAGGGTCAAATCGAGATTCGAGACCACCACCATCATCACATCATGAGGACAGCAGCACGCCTGGGAACATGATGGGGCAGTTCATGGGGGAACCCTCCCGCCAACTCTGGATGGGCTCGCGCAGGCGGGAGAAATGTAACATACGGTGCGGTGCGATGTGGATGGCTTCTCCACTCCATCCAACAAGCTAGGGATGGTCTTGAATTTTCTAAGGACCGGTTAGAGAGCAAAAATCGCAGGATCGTCTGCAAATATCGAGCCCCACAATCGAGCGGGCAGATCGATCGGCGAAACATGGCGACCGCGACGTTGTAACGATCGCACCTGAGAATTGACAGATCTCCCACGATCAGTGATCAGTGGAATTCACACTGTAGAGAAATTTTGGCCAAAAAGCGTACTGTATTATGGTTACAGCGCAGTAAATAGGGTAACCAATCTGCACATCGATCGTGACTGACGATCGATCGTCTACTGTCGAGCCCGGCAGGCAGAGCCAAGGCCCAATGGGGAACACCAGAGGGGTAACAGTTCCGCAGAGTGCTAGTGGAACGTGGGACAGCGGAGGTCTGAACCGAACCGAAGGCAGTTTCTGGAAGAGGTCACCACCGTTTCGGGATTGCAGTTTGGCTCTTGACAGTGTTCCGTTTGGTTTAGTTGTTTTTGAGTAGATTTTACGGGGTGCAGATGGTTCATCAATTCATGATCTCATCGCGGTGTGCCAGCAGGGATCGCATCGCAGGCTCCAAACAAAAGTGAAAGCACGAGCTTTGCCTCCTGGCAGAGGGTGCTTGCTTGCCTTCGCGAACCTCAAATCAACGCGACCAATCAAGCGACACCAGTCGCCTCGCCTCGCCAGCTTTCGTCACTGTACTCATCGCGTGAAAGTATCCCCTGTGCTCTGCTGGGAAGTCCCCACCCAAAATCGCAAACTCCCCTCCCCACACCACCCCCAGCAAGGTTTGTCCAATGAGAGGCAAGCTTCATGCGAAACCCAACTTCCATGCTCCCCTGTTTTCAATCAGCACGAATTTCAAAGTGTACAAGTGCCGCCTGGACAAAGCGTCTGTAAAGAGAATCGGAACAGGCACTTTCGAATCATAGGTACCACCAGCTAGATACTAGAAGAAACACCTTACACCTGACCATCCCTTCTCGCCAGCTTTCCTGGCACCCACATTCCGTGCATCGGCTTCTCGCGCTGCGAGGCGGGTGTATCACAGATTCTGAACTAATACATCGGTCCTTGTCAAGATCGTGTTCCTAGGCTTGAATTCAGCCCATTTGGCTCGCCGATTGCTTCTTCTGTTGGTTCCAGTCCTGTCAGCGAAAGTCGGATGTATGGAGCTACCGCATTGTCATCAACTGCCGAATTCGCGAGACTGCTGATTTCCGCGAGTCCCGCACATGATTCCGCAGGATACCTGAACAGCTTACGAACCGAAACCACCGCGTTGGTGGGTGAATTCGCGAAAAGGTGTCAAACTGTAACCCGATCGTCCAGGAGTAATATCTCATTTCGCTTATCGTCGCACACCCATTTGTTCCCGAATCGACTCTCCTCTTTTGGACACCTTGGGAGAAGAAACCAACGGCGCGCAGCACTCTCCTCTGCGCTTGGTTGCCACGTGTCAGCCATGGCGGATTCGAGAGCTCCATTAGCGGATGCTGACGTGGATATGGTAGACAATGTCCAAGTGGATCAGCCAGACTTGCAGGGCGACGCGGACGTGTCTCTAACCAACGGTCACGATCCCGAGATTGTGAAATCCGAGGAGGATAAGAAGGCGTACCGCATGGTGACGCTTCCGAATGGGTTAATTACCCTGTTAATTTACGACCCTGAGATTGCCGCGTCAGGGGATGACGATGAGGATGATGAGGAGGAGGATGAGGAGGATGAGATAGAGAGTGAGGAGAGTGATGAGGAAATGAGTGTGGCTGAGGCTGGGGGAAGCGGAGATGGGACAAAAAGCAGCGGAAAGGGGAAGGGGGGGAAGGGGGAAAAGGGGGGTAAGGGTGGGAAGTCCAAGGGACGAAAAGGTGCTAGTAAAGGAGGGAAGGGAGGTGACGATAACGAGGGTGAGGATAGCGATTGGGAGACAGCGAGTGAGGAGGAGGAAGGGGAGGCGGAGGACGCAGGAACTGGCGGAACAGAGGAGAAAAAGGCAAAGGTGGTCGGAGGAAAGGGGGATGGTCAGTGTAAGGGAGGCGAGTCGGGGGCAGCAGGGGGTGAGAAGACCGGGGGGGAGGGGAAGGTGGGGGGTAAGAGGAAGAAAGTGGGGGGGATTAGGCTGGGTGGTGGTGGCTTGGGGCGGAAGGGGAAGTCTGGGGAGAAGAGTGCAGGGAAGGGGGCAGTGGCAGGAGGGGCGGAAGAGGGGGAAGAGGGTAGTGAGGAGGAGATGGAGAGTGGAGAGGAGGAGGAGGAATATGAGGGTTATGACGAGGAAGACGAGGATGAATCTGATGGGGATGATGATGAGGATGATGATGACGATCAACCAGGAGCAGCAAAGAAGGTGCCGTAACTACCCTATACTTGTTGGTTCTTGGGAACTCCCAATTACCAACTACCGTATACTTGCTCCCAATACTGATGAACCTTTCCATCTCTTCCCTATCCCCAGCTTCGGTTGCCACCGCCACCCCACTTCTCCCCTCCCACCGTCCCTCCTTTCGTCCTTCACTACCTCTCTGCCTCTTCCGCTCGTCCTGCGCCTCACTTTTGGTCCTCCTTTCTAATGCACCTGCCTTCTGCCTCACCTCTCCACCCCTGTCTCTCCCTTCCCCACCGCTCCCCACCACTCCCCACCACTCCCCACGCCACTTCATCCAGTTGGCGGCGGCCGCCATGTGTGTGGGCGTGGGAAGCTTCCTGGATCCTCCCGATGCTCTCGGCCTCGCGCATTTCCTTGGTCAGTAGACGCACACTCACCCAGAGCTTGGGGTTTAGACACAGGTTCTTCCGGTTGCCCTGCGGTGCTCTCGGTTGCCCTGCGGTGCTCTCAGTTGCCCTGCGGTGCTCTCGGTTGCCCTGCGGTGCTCTCAGTTGCCCTGCGGTGCTCTGCGGTTGCCCGGTAGAAGTTTTTCACAGGCATTCTCAAACTTTTGAGCAAAGCCGATGGAACTTCTAAGGCGTATTACACTTTCTCCTCTTCATCCCGCCTTCCCTCCCTCCCGCCCATCCTCTTTCCTTTATACTGCAGAGCACATGCTCGTCATTGGCAGCGTCAAGTTCCCTGACGAAAACGATATTATTTAGTTTTTGACGTTTCAGATTCTCTCTCCTCCCTCTGTCCCTCTCTTCTGCATACTGCAGAGCACATGCTCTTCATGGGCAGCGTCAAGTTCCCTGACGAAAACGAGGTGAGGCCAGAAACCCTGAATTATAAACCTCAAACCCTGACTGCGTCCCTAGGGCAAGCTTTTCATGGTAAACCCTAGATTCTTATTCATATCTCCCCTTGCGGAGTAATGAAGGATTCGAAACGCAGCAAGCCGTGTGGTAAACCCTAGATTCTGATTCATATCTCCCCTCCTGGAGAGTCATGGGTTATGCTGTGCCACGCACCAGAGTGACGCTTCTTGAACCCTGAACCCTGAACCCTGAACTATGAACGCGAAACCATTCCTGACCCCTAGAACCCTGAACCCTGACTCGTGACCGTTGAACCCTGTAAAGCACTGCTTCGTCGCTCACATACAGCATACCCTCCCCTTCTTCCTCCACTTGTTCTCTCCACCCATCCCCTTTTCGCCACTTCTTCCCCTCCCCCACCTGCACATACATACACACCCTTCCTTCCAGTATGACTCGTTTCTGAGACGGCATGGCGGCGGCTCGAACGCGTTCACAGAGACAGAGTTCACGTGCTACCACTTTGACGTGGCACACAAGTACCTACACCCTGCTCTTGACAGGTGAGTGAGCCCCAGAGGCGTCTGAGATGAGAAGGCGAGCTTCAGTTGCGCATCACCACCTTCACTGCAATTTTGTTCAGAGAGAGAGAGCTCACGTGCCACCACTTTGACGTGGCACACAAGTACCTGCACCCTGCTCTCGACAGGTGATAAGAGACCCACACTTTGCTGGACCCCCCTTCCCCATCCTGGCCCATCGCACCCCTCTCATATCATCTCTGCACTGTTCTTTGGGCCATCACTGGCTCCCCCACCCGACCCACACCCTTCCCTCCCTCCCGCCCTCTTTCTTGGCCTCCCTACCCAACTAAACTGGAAACCCTGGTGCACCGTATCCTTCTCAATTTAGATTCGTGCAGTTCTTTGTAATTCCACTGAATCGCCCGATCTATCCCCCTCCCGCCCTCCTTCATTCGTGCCCTTTCTCCCTCCCTCCTCCCTCCCTCCCTCCCTCCCTCCCTCCCTCCCTCCCTCCCTCCCTCCCTCCTTCCCTCCCCCCTTTCAGGTTTGCGCAGTTCTTTGTGGCGCCGCTGGTGAAGGCAGATGCCATGGAGAGAGAGGTGCAGGCTGTCGACTCGGGTGAGTTGACCGCCCTTGACCTGTGTTGACTTGTGTTGACTTGGTTTGACAATATTCTGTTGACTTGATGCAGTTTCTATAACTTGACCTGTAATCCTTCGTTGTGTGCATTTAAACCAACTCCCTAGCTCCCCACGACAACCCCTCTGCCCCAAACCCTCATTTCACGGTTCACCATCCTTTCTCCACCCCTCACCACCCCCCGCCGCCCCCTCTCTTCCCTATCTCCCCCCCCACCTCACCCCCAGAGTTCTTTTGAGACGTCTCAAAAGTTATCTCCCCCCGCACCTCACGCCCAGAGTTCTTTTGAGACGTCTCAAAAGTTATCTCCCCCCGCACCTCACGCCCAGAGTTCTTTTGAGACGTCTCAAAAGTTATCTCCCCCCGCACCTCACGCCCAGAGTTCTTTTGAGACGTCTCAAAAGTTATCTCCCCCCGCACCTCACGCCCAGAGTTCTTTTGAGACGTCTCAAAAGTTATCTCCCCCCGCACCTCACGCCCAGAGTTCTTTTGAGACGTCTCAAAAGTTATCTCCCCCCGCACCTCACGCCCAGAGTTCTTTTGAGACGTCTCAAAAGTTATCTCCCCCCGCACCTCACGCCCAGAGTTCTTTTGAGACGTCTCAAAAGTTATCTCCCCCCGCACCTCACGCCCAGAGTTCTTTTGAGACGTCTCAAAAGTTATCTCCCCCCGCACCTCACGCATCTGCAGAGCGACGTGTGTCGGGTGCAGCAGCTGCAGTGCTCCACGTGCTTCTCATCATTTTGTGTCCATGTACACGACCTCCCTCCTTTCCCCGGCCCCTTCTCTCTACCCGCCACTCTCCCCGCCCAGAGTTCAACATCAGCTTACAGAGCGACGTGTGTCGGGTGCAGCAGCTGCAGTGCTCCACGTGCTTCTCATCATTTTGTGTCCATGTACACGACCTCCCTCCTTTCCCCGGCCCCTTCTCTCTACCCGCCACTCTCCCCGCCCAGAGTTTAACATCAGCTTACAGAGCGACGTGTGTCGGGTGCAGCAGCTGCAGTGCTCCACGTGCTTCTCATCATTTTGTGTCCATGTACACGACCTCCCTCCTTTCCCCGGCCCCTTCTCTCTACCCGCCACTCTCCCCGCCCAGAGTTCAACATCAGCTTACAGAGCGGCGTGTGTCGGGTGCAGCAGCTGCAGTGCTCCACGTGCTTCTCATCATTTTGTGTCCATGTACACGACCTCCCTCCTTTCCCCGGCCCCTTCTCTCTACCCGCCACTCTCCCCGCCCAGAGTTTAACATCAGCTTACAGAGCGACGTGTGTCTGGTGCAGCAGCTGCAGTGCTCCACGTGCTTCTCATCATTTTGTGTCCATGTACACGACCTCCCTCCTTTCCCCGGCCCCTTCTCTCTACCCGCCGCTCTCCCCGCCCAGAGTTCAACATCAGCTTACAGAGCGACGTGTGTCGGGTGCAGCAGCTGCAGTGCTCCACGTGCTTCTCATCATTTTGTGTCCATGTACACGACCTCCCTCCTTTCCCCGGCCCCTTCTCTCTACCCGCCACTCTCCCCGCCCAGAGTTTAACATCAGCTTACAGAGCGACGTGTGTCGGGTGCAGCAGCTGCAGTGCTCCACGTGCTTCTCATCATTTTGTGTCCATGTACACGACCTCCCTCCTTTCCCCGGCCCCTTCTCTCTACCCGCCACTCTCCCCGCCCAGAGTTTAACATCAGCTTACAGAGCGACGTGTGTCGGGTGCAGCAGCTTCAGTGCTCCACTTGCGTGCAGCCAGACCACCCCTTCCGCAAGTTCTCCTGGGGCAACCGCAAGAGCCTCATCGACGACCCCGCCAAGCTGGGAGTGGACATGCGGGAGAGGCTGCTGCAGCTCTACTCGCGGTTCTACACTGCCGGGGCCATGCGACTGGTGGTGGTGGGCGGAGGTGAGTCCTTGTGTTTGGGGTTTGGGTGCGATCCAGTGTGGTTGTGTGCATGCAGCAGGCAGGTACAGGTACACTGGAAGCGTGGGTGAGGCAGCTCTTCTCGCCCATCCCTCGGGGGGGCACTCAGGGAACTAACTCCGTTATCTCCCGCTCTCATGCCACTTACCCTTGCTCCTCTCCCACAGAGCCCCTGGACACGCTTGAGTCATGGGTGAGGCAGCTCTTCTCGCCCATCCCTCCCGGCGGTAGTGGCATTCACCCGCTGCTGCACCAGCTGCCTCCGCCCGCCACCTTCTCTTCGCCGTCCCAAGACTCTGAGATGCTGGGTCCTGGTGCTGCTGGGTTGGAGCAGGAGGATGGGGGCACAGGGGAGGTGGTGGGAGGGGGTAATGGTAGCAGTGCTGCTGCTGGTGCTGGTGGTGCTGCTGCTGCTGATACCGGTGCTGTGGGTGCTGCTGCTGCAGGGAAGAAGGTACCGCTGGCGGCGGTGTTGGCAGGGAGCAGAGCAGCATCTGAGGTATCCACTGCTGCTACAGCCGCCACTGCTGCTACAGCCGCCACTGCTGCTACATCCGCTACAGTCGCTGCTGCTCCTGGGGTGCAGATGGGGACGACAGAGACAAGCGCAGCGAAAGGGGAGAAGGGGAAGGGAGAAAAGACGGCGGAGGAGGAGGAGGTTGGGGATGGGGAGAAGTGGAAGGGGGTGTGGGAGGCGGGGCGGCTGTATGAAGTGGCGAGTGTGAAGGAGCAGCAGCAGGTGTCGCTGATGTGGACACTGCCGTGCCTGCATGCCGAGTATGCCAGCAAACCGCATGACTACCTCTCCCACCTCATTGGGCACGGTGAGTGTGAGACCCATATGAGGCATGGTGAAACTCACAGCAGCTCAGCTTAGCATGGCAGCAGCAGGTGTCGCTGATGTGGACACTGCCATGCCTGCATGCCGAGTATGCCAGTAAACCCCATGACTACCTCTCACACCTCATTGGGCACGGTGAGACAAGTGTGGGAGGGCAGGGGAGGGCAGGGGAGGGCAGGGGAGGGCAGGGGAGGGCAGGGGAGGGCAGGGATCCCATCTCATTGGGCACGGTGAGACAAGTGTGGGAGGGCAGGGATCCCATCTCATTGGGCACGGTGAGACAAGTGTGGGAGGGCAGGGATCCCATCTCATTGGGCACGGTGAGACAAGTGTGGGAGGGCAGGGATCCCATCTCATTGGGCACGGTGAGACAAGTGTGGGAGGGCAGGGATCCCATCTCATTGGGCACGGTGAGACAAGTGTGGGAGGGCAGGGATCCCATCTCATTGGGCACGGTGAGACAAGTGTGGGAGGGCAGGGATCCCATCTCATTGGGCACGGTGAGACAAGTGTGGGAGGGCAGGGATCCCATCTCATTGGGCACGGTGAGACAAGTGTGGGAGGGCAGGGATCCCATCTCATTGGGCACGGTGAGACAAGTGTGGGAGGGCAGGGATCCCATCTCATTGGGCACGGTGAGACAAGTGTGGGAGGGCAGGGATCCCATCTCATTGGGCACGGTGAGACAAGTGTGGGAGGGCAGGGATCCCATCTCATTGGGCACGGTGAGACAAGTGTGGGAGGGCAGGGATCCCATCTCATTGGGCACGGTGAGACAAGTGTGGGAGGGCAGGGATCCCATCTCATTGGGCACGGTGAGACAAGTGTGGGAGGGCAGGGATCCCATCTCATTGGGCACGGTGAGACAAGTGTGGGAGGGCAGGGATCCCATCTCATTGGGCACGGTGAGACAAGTGTGGGAGGGCAGGGATCCCATCTCATTGGGCACGGTGAGACAAGTGTGGGAGGGCAGGGATCCCATCTCATTGGGCACGGTGAGACAAGTGTGGGAGGGCAGGGATCCCATCTCATTGGGCACGGTGAGACAAGTGTGGGAGGGCAGGGATCCCATCTCATTGGGCACGGTGAGACTTCTATGGAAGGAGGGGGGGAGTGGCAGGCAGGGGAGGGGAAGTGATTCGAATCAGTTGCTTGTTTCCCTCGTCACCCTCTTGCTAAATCCTTCTTGTCCCCCCCACAACGCACGTTGTCTCCCCTGACTCTTCCTCACAGAGGGCAGTGGCAGCCTGCTGCCTCTGCTCGAGGGGTGGGCGACAGGGTTCACTCTTTTTCCTCCTCCCTCCTGCATCACCCTCTCGCCTCCTCCCTCATCACCCTCTCGCCTCCTCCCTCCTGCATCACCCTCTCGCCTCCTCCCTCCTGCATCACCCTCTCTCCTCCCTCCTGCATCACCCTCTCGCCTCCTCCCTCATCACCCTCTCTCCTCCCTCCTGCATCACCCTCTCACCTCCTCCCTCATCACCCTCTCTCCTCCCTCCCGCATCACCCTGTCTTCCTCACAGAGGGCAGTGGCAGCCTGCTATCTCTGCTCAAGGCCAAGGGGTGGGCCACGGAGCTGGCAGCGGGGGTGGGGGAGAGCGGCTATGAGAAGAGCTCCCTCGCTTTTGTCTTCACCGTTACAATCACACTCTCCGACGATGGCCTCAAACACGTGAGCCGCGCAGCCTCGCTTGTGTGTGTGTGTGTGTGTGTGTGTGTGTGTGTGTGTGTGTGTGTGTGTGTGTGTGTGTGTGTGTGTGTGAGTGTGTGTGTGTGTGTGTGTGTGTGTGTTTTTCCCCTGGTTTCCCTTTGTCTATCTCCTCTCAGTCTCTCCCTTCCACCTCCCTCCCCCCATCACCAGGCACTGGACGTGGTGGGAACGGTGTTCCAGTACATCAGCATGCTGCGCCAGGCCCCTCCCCAGCGGTGGGTGTTTGAGGAGCTGCAGGCCATCGCAGCCATGGACCTGCGATTTGCAGAGGAGGATTCTCCCGACGAGTACGCCGTCAGACTGGCAGGTCAGTCCGTGGGTGGGTGGGACACAGGGCTAGAACGTTGTCCAGTGTGGCCGTGGTTGCTCTCTCCCCCCCTTCCCAGCGGTGGGTGTTTGAGGAGCTGCAGGCCTTCGCAGCCTTGGACCTGCAATTTGCCGAGGAGGACTCGCCTGATGAATACGCCGTCAGACTGGGAGGTAGGTTGGTGGGGCTGGCTGGGGCTAGCAGGCCAGGGTTGGAGAGCGCGTTTTGTGATGTGACCCATGCATGTGGCATCTCGGACAGCGGTGGGTGTTTGAGGAGCTGCAGGCCATCGCAGCCATGGACCTGCTATTCGCAGAGGAGGATTCTCCCGATGAATATGCCGTCAGACTGGCAGGTAGGTTGGTGGGGCTGGCTGGGGCTAGCAGGTCAGGGTTGGAGAGCGCGTTTTGTGACCCGTGCAGTGCACGCACTGTCCCCAGCGGTGGGTGTTTGAGGAGCCGCAGGCCATCGCAGCCATGGACCTGCGATTTGCCGAGGAGGACTCGCCTGACGAGTACGCCGTCAGGCTCGCAGGTGGGTTGGTGGGCTGGAAGAAAAAGTAGTTAGCACACCATGCGCCATGACAAGTGGGGCCCTGACCGCATCGCCCACCTGCTCTCGCTGCTCTCACCCCATGCATCCTCTTTCTCACCTCCCGCCCCCTCTCTCCCCAGGCAACATGTTCTGTTACCCCAAGAGGCACGTGATAGCAGGGGACTACATTCATGACAAGTGGGACTCCCATCGCATTGCATACCTGCACTCCCTACTCTCTAATCTCCATCCGTGCTTCCTCTTTCTCACCTCCTGCTTCCGCTCTCCCTCCTCTTTCTCCCCCCACCAGGCAACATGTTCTATTACCCCAAGAGGCATGTGATAGCAGGGGACTACATTCATGACAAGTGGGACCCCGACCGCATCGCCTACCTGCTCTCGCTGCTCTCGCCACACTCCGTGCGCCTTGACCTGCTCACTCACTCCTTCGACCACACCAGAGAAGGTGAGCGAGTGTTGTTATGGGGCTTAGGCTTCAGGCCTTGCTGCCCTCTCTACCCTCTCTGTCCTCTCTACCCTCTCTGTCGTCTCTGCTCCCTCCCTCTCGCGCTCATCGCTTACTTGCTCATTGATCCCACTCTCTGCCTCTCTCCCTATCTCCCTCAGGCATTTCAATGGAGCCGTGGTTCGGAGTGCCCTACACCACAACTAGGCGATAGTATATTCGTTTCGGGACGTACCAGAACAGATTCACTAACTTCCATACCTCTCTCCCTCTCTGCCTCTGGAACCATGCTACAGGTATTCTTAAGGAGCCGTGGTTCGATGTGCCCTACACCACAACCCTGCTCTCCCCGGCTCTCCTGGACCAATGGGCGAGCGACACGTGGCTCAACCCCGACCTGCGCATGCCTCCCCCCAACGAGTTTATCCCCACCGACTTCTCCCTCCGCCCCTCCTCCTCCTCCACTGCTGCCCCTACTGCTACCACCACCGCCACTACCACCATTGCTGCTGCTACTTCTGCTGCTGCTGCTACCACTAACATCAGTGAATCTCCCAACGGGACAACTCCCAGTGTGACCAACGTACCCAGTGTGCCGCGGGTGGTGAGGGAGGAGGCGGGGCGATGCAAGGTGTGGTACAAGCAGGACGATGTGTTCCGCTCGCCGCGCCTCAACGCCCACTTCGCCCTCTCCTCCCCCCATGCCTGCGATTCTCCCCGCTCCGCTGCACTTACTGAGCTCGCGGTGAAGCTTATCGAAGATTCTCTGAACGAGACCCTGTACCTGGTGAGTGTGAGGTCTATCTGTTTGCTCCCAGCGTTGCCAGTGCTTCCAGTGCTCCCAGCGTCCCCCCTGGGGTGGTGAGGGAGGAGGCGGGGCGGTGCATGGTGTGGTACAAGCAGGACAACGTGTTCCGCTCGCCGCGCCTCAACGCCCACTTCACCCTCTCCTCCCCGCACGCCTGTGACTCTCCCCGCTCCGCTGCCCTCACTGAGCTGGCGGTGAAGCTTATTGAAGACTCTCTAAACGAGACCCTCTACCTGGTGAGTGTCAGGTCTATCTGTTTGCTCCCAGCGCTGCCAGTGCTTCCAGTGCTCCCAGCGTCCCCCCTGGGGTGGTGAGGGAGGAGGCGGGGCGGTGCATGGTGTGGCACAAGCAGGACAACGTGTTCCGCTCGCCGCGCCTCAACGCCCACTTCGCCCTCTCCTCCCCCCATGCCTGTGACTCGCCCCGCTCGGCTGCACTCACTGAGCTCGCTGTGAAGCTTATTGAAGACTCCCTCAATGAGACTCTCTATCTGGTATGCCTGTCTGAGTCTGTATCATCACCGCATCTGCGTTTTTTGCTCAGCGCCGACTTCGCCCTCCCCTCCCCTCACGTCTGTGATTCGCCCCACTTCGCTGCCGTGACGGATCATCTACCGAATTCTCCAAAGTCGCTGCCGTGATGGATCATCTACTTTTGAGAATTCTCCAAAGTCGCTGCCGTGTCGGACCTGGCTGTGAAAATTATTAAAGACTCCCTGAATGAGACCCCCTACCTGGTGAGGTTTCGGTGTGTCTGAGTTGGTGTGTGTGCCTGTGTGTCACTCACCCTGGTCCGCTGCCCTCGTGGAACTGGCAGTGAAGCTCATAGAAGACTCTTTCAATGAGACACTCTACCTGGTGAGGTTTGGGTGTGTCTGTGTGTGTGTGTATCTGTGTGGGCATCTTCGTGTGTCACTCATTGTGCACTTCGCCCCACTTTGCCCGCGACTTGCCTCGCTCTGCCATGGAAATCGCAGTGAAACCTATCGAAGACGAAGACTCGCTTTATGAAATTCTCAACCTAGAATGTAGCATTACATTACCTCCCCTCACGTGCTTGTCCTTCACCCACTTCCGTTCCAACCCCTCCCGTGCAGGCGAGTGTGGCCAAGCTAGACACCTTCATGGCCGTCCAGGGCTTTAAGATCCTAACCCTAAATCCCCTTCCCTTCCCCCCTTTCCCCCATCTCTATCCCCCCCACCTCCACCTCTCGTGCAGGCGAGTGTGGCCAAGCTAGACACGGTTATGGCCGTCCAGGGCTTTAAGATCGAGATCCGAATCACGGGCTTCAGCCACAAGCTGCCGACGCTCGCCGCCCGCATCTTCCGCCACATCAGCACGTTCCGGGCGGCGGCCGACCGCTTCAGCGCGCTCAAGGAGGAGCGGTGCCGCGCGTACCGCAACGCGCTCTTAAAGCCCCTCAAGCACTCCGCCTACCTGCGCCTGCTGCTGCTGCGCACCCCCGCCTGGACCATCCCGGACAAGCTATCGGCGCTAACTGCGTGCGAGGTGGACGATCTGAACGCCTTTCTGCAGACTCTCTTCTCCCGGGTAAGTTTTGTCAGATCCAACACGATACTGATTGATGAGGCGATTTTTGAGTCGACTCAAAAATCGCCTCATCACACGCGGATTTTTGAGTCGACTCAAAAATCGCTTCTCCCGGGTAAGTTTTGTTAGATGCAACACGATACTGATTGGGTTTTGCAGCCTGCTGCTGCTGCGCACCCCCGCCTGGACCATCCCGGACAAGCTATCGGCGCTCAGCGCGTGCGAGGTGGACGATCTGAACGAGTTCCTGCGGGTGCTCTTCTCGCGGGTGCGTCTTGTTAAAGGCAACGAGCCCGGCATGGTAAGGATTGAGTTTTGAAACCCATCAGTGATTGAAGGCTGCGAACCGCTTCAGCCCTATTGGTGCCTTCACTTCACTCCAGTCCGTCTCCCCCTTTCCCCCACTCGCCACCTTGCCTCGCTCCCAGGCGCACGTAGAAAATGCACATTCACGGCAATGCGACAGAAGCGGACGCTCTAGCACTCGCCTCAGCTGTCACAGACACCCTCCCGGTGCCCTCGTCTCCTCTCTCCCCATTCCCTAACCCCACCTTTTGTCCCCCCCAGGCGCACATAGAAATGCTGATTCACGGCAACGCAACAGAGGACGACGCTCTAGCCCTCGCCTTGGCTGTCTTTTGAGGCGCCTCAAAAGTCGGCTATGTTTTTGAGGCGCCTCAAAAGTCGTCTATGTTTTTGAGGCGCCGCAACAGAGCACGACGCTCTAGCCCTCGCCTTGGCTGTCACAGACACCCTCCCGGTGCCCTCCCCTCCATCCCCCTTTTTACACCCGCTCCCCACTTTTCCCACCAGACATGCATAGAAATGCTGATTCACGGTAACGCAACAGTGGAAGACGCGTTAGCACTCGCCTCAGCCGTCACAGACACCCTCCCAGTGCCCTCGCCTCCGCTGCTGGACCTCCCTTCAGAGCGCTGCCTGCAGCTGCCACGTGGCAAGTCCCTGTTGGTCGAGAGCCCCGTGGGGAACCCGGCCGAGGAGAATTCTGCAGTCGAGGTGAGAGGTTGGTGGGAGTGAGGCAGGTGGAAGTGGGGCAGGTGGGAGTGGGTCAGGTGGGAGTGGGGCAGGTCTCACCTAATGCTGTGGTGCATCTCTCCCTCCAGGCCTGGTCGTCCACACCTGCCAAGACGTGAGTGCATGCCATCGTTTCTAACCGATCACCCTTGCCTATTATCCATCCACTCCACTTCTGTTCCCCCACCCCCCTTCCCTCTTCCCCCACACCCCTTCCCCCATCCCCCACCCCCCATGCATCAGGTGTACTACCATGCCTGCCAGGTGGACCTGATGCATACATATACCAATACCAGATCAGACCAATCCTCTCCTTTCCTCCATCCACTCCCCATCCCCCATCGTCCATCCCCCTTCCCCCATCCCCCATCCCCCATCCTCCATCTCCCTTTCTCCATCCCACATCCTCCATCCCCCTTCCCCCATCCCCCATCCCCCATCCTCCATCCCCCATCCCCCATCCTCCATCCCCCTTCCGCCATCCCCCATCCTCCATCCCCCATCCCCCATCCTCCATCCCCCTTCCGCCATCCCCCATCCTCCATCCCCCTTCCCCCATCCCCCATCCTCCACCCCCCTTCCCCCATCCCCCATCCTCCATCCCCCGTCCACCAGGTGTATTACCAGGCGTGCCAGGACCAGGGCCGGGCGTCCATCCGAGACCGATCGCTCGTGGACCTACTGGAGCAGGTAAGAGTGAGGAGCAGGTGAGGGAGAGAAGCAGGTGAACGCAATGAGGGGTCTTTTTTTTAGACAAATCTTCAGGAATGTACCACTACCAGGCGTGCCAGGACCAGGGCCGGGCGTCCATCCGAGACCGATCGCTCGTGGATCTACTGGAGCAGGTGAGAGAGACGAGCAGGTGAGGGAGTGAGAGGAGAGGAATTTGCTGAAGTGTGAGAGGCCATTTGTGTATGAATTGCTGGAATGCGGAGGAGAATGCGACACTTGCCTCACTTCTAAAACCATCTGTGCTTGTGGTATCAAGTGGTGTGCTCCTCCCCTTTCACCATCCCCTTTCACCCACCCCTTTCAACCGCTCCTCACGTCCATCTCTCATGTTTCTCCCAAGCGTCTCTTATTTCTCCCCACGGCCTCTCAGGTGATGTCAGAGCCGCTGATCGACACACTGAGAACCAAGGAGCAGCTGGGCTACCGAGTGGACTGCGGCACTCGCCTCACCCATGGACTCCTCCCTTTGACCCACCCAACCATCGCGTCCGTCCCTCATCCCTCGTCCCTCTCTTGTGCGTCCCTCTCCCTTCTCTCGCCCGTCGCTCAGGTGATGTCAGAGCCCCTGTTCGACACACTGAGAACCAAGGAGCAGCTGGGATACAGAGTGGACTGCGGCACTCGGCCCACCCCCTTGGTCTTAAGCTTTGGTGTACTCGATCCACCACTTTCGCCCACCCACCACGCTCACCCTTCAGGTGATGTCAGAGCCGCTGTTCGACACACTGAGAACCAAGGAGCAGCTGGGATACAGAGTGGACTGCGGCACTCGGCCCAACCCCTTGGTCTTAAGCTTTGGTGTACTCAATCCACCACTTTCGCCCACCCACCACGCTCACCCCTCAGGTGATGTCAGAGCCGCTGTTCGACACACTGAGAACCAAGGAGCAGCTGGGATACAGAGTGGACTGCGGCACTCGGCCCAACCCCTTGGTATTAAGCTTTGGTGTACTCAATCCACCACTTTCGCCCACCCACCACGCTCACCCCTCAGGTGATGTCAGAGCCGCTGTTCGACACACTGAGAACCAAGGAGCAGCTGGGATACAGAGTGGACTGCGGCACTCGGCCCAACCCCTTGGTATTAAGCTTTGGTGTACTCAATCCACCACTTTCGCCCACCCACCACGCTCACCCCTCAGGTGATGTCAGAGCCGCTGTTCGACACACTGAGAACCAAGGAGCAGCTGGGATACAGAGTGGACTGCGGCACTCGGCCCAACCCCTTGGTATTAAGCTTTGGTGTACTCAATCCACCACTTTCGCCCACCCACCACGCTCACCCCTCAGGTGATGTCAGAGCCCCTGTTCGACACACTGAGAACCAAGGAGCAGCTGGGGTACAGAGTGGACTGCGGCACTCGCCTCACCCACGGCGTCTTCGGCTTCTGCATCCGCGTGCAGTCTGCTGACTACGGGCCAGAATACTTGCAGCAGCGAGTTGACTCATTCCTCAACACCTTCCGCGATAACCTGGTAAGAACCTGCTGTGGTGACGGCTGTGGCACTCTCGCCTCACCCACGGCGTTTTTGGCTTCTGCATCTGCATGCAGTCTGCTGACTACGGGCCAGAATACTTGCATCAACGAGTCGACTCCTTCCTCAACACCTTCCGAGATAACCTGGTAAGTACTGCACGCACCTGTTGAACTGACAAGTTGCCTTTGGCTTCTGTCAGAATACTCAAAAGCAACTTCCAAGGTATTTGACTTCTTTAACCAGATGCAGTAAGCCGGAAGTGGGCCTAGCTCCCTCCCTAGCTCCCTCTCTCTCTCCCCACTTCCCCTCTCACCCCCGTTTCCCAGAACGCACGCTCATGCTCTCTTGTCCACCCTCCTTGCTCACGCTCTCTTGCCCTTTGCTCCCTCCCTCTCCGCCCCCCAGAGCGCCCTGCCCGAGGTGGATTTCAGGGTGCACAGGGCAGCGCTGCAGGTTATCAAGATGCTCCCTTCCCTACTCACTTACTCACTCTCACGCTCTCTTGCCCTTTCCTCCCTCCCTCTCCGTCTCCGCCCCAGAGCGCCCTGCCCGAAGCTGACTTCAGGGCGCACAGGGCAGCGCTGCAGGTGCTGAAGATGCGCAAGGACCACACTCTGGGGGATGAGACGCACCGCTACTGGGAGCAGATCTGGGAAGGCAGGTGAGGGCACGTGGGAGGGGAGTGGAGGGCACGTGGGAGGGGAGTGGAGGGCACGTGGGAGGGGAGTGGAGGGCACGTGGGAGGGGAGTGGAGGGCACGTGGGAGGTGGGGCGAGGGTTGCACAAGTGGTGAGTGGCACACAGTGAGAGGCAGTGCAGGTGCTGAAGATGCGCAAGAACCACACTCTTCAGGATGAGACGCACCGCTACTGGGAGAAGATCTGGGAGGGCAGGTGAGCACGAGGGCAGGTGAGCACGAGGGCAGGTGAAACCCAGTTTTTCCGTTTTCCGCGTTTTCCTGTATTTTTTCAAGCTGTGCGAGGTATATTTGAAAAAGATCCCAAAGCTCCCTGTATGATTGCACTCCACACCGTTCTCTTCCCCAACTCCCCCCCCCTCCTTTTTTCCCTCTCTCTCCCTTCCCCTCCCCTTACCACCCACCATTGTTGCAACATTCCCCCAGTTCGCTCTTCAACTCACGCCAGCCTGGAGGCTGTGGCCCTCTGCAACATCACGCTCGCATGCTGGGCTGAGCTGCGTGATTGGGTAATCTCACACCCTCCTTTCCCCCAAAACCCCATCTCCCCAAACCCTCCCCCCCCCCCCCCCCCCCCCCCCCCCCACCTTCACCCCAGTTCGCTCTTCAACTCGCGCCAGCTGGAGGCTGTGGCGCTCTGCAACATCACGCTTGCTGAGCTGTGCGCGTGGTTCGACCGCCACATCAGCATGACAGCTGGCGCCGACAGCGACGGAGGAGACGGCGCTGACAAGGACAGCATCATGGTCGAGAATGGAGAGGCTGGTGCAGCGGAGGCAGGTAACGGGGAGGCTTATAAGGGGGACGGGGATGGCGGAGGGAAGGTGCTTGGACGGCGCGTGCTGGTGCACGTGTGGGGAGCAGGCAAGTGGAAGGAGAGGAGTGAGGTGAGCACTGGGGAGACAGGAAAGGATGCAGTTGGAAAGGCTGAAAAGGCCGGGAAGAATGGGAAGGGTGGTGGTGAGGGTGATGGGAAGGATGGCAAATGGAGGGAAGGGCAGGTGGTGGTGGAGGTGAGCGATATAGAGAAGGAGAAGGCTTCCCTTGAGCTCTTTCCCGTGCTCAAACCTGTGGTGGTGGCGACATGAATTTTGATGCGACTCAGAAGGGCAGGTGGTGGTGGAGGTGGGGGATATAGAGAAGGAGAAGGCTTCTCTTGAGCTCTTTCCCGTGCTTAAACCCGTGGTGGTGGCTGCATGATCGGCACAACAACCTGTCAAACCTGTCAAATTGATCTGCTCTGTGTTGATTCCACCCTGCTGTGTTACCTTTGGGTCTGGAAATAGTTCTTCCTGACCCACATACTAGATCAATTGGGATTTGTTTCTCCTTGATGCCTCCCTATTTTGCATGAACTGCGGAACATGGGGGGGGCTCTGAATGAGTGGACAGTGTAAGCATGATGTAGGAATATGCGTCATACACCGTACCATCATCTTGCTGTGCAGGCGGGTGTCCCCTGGCATTCATGAGTAATTCATGTACGAGCGATATGGTATAACTATATAAAACTAGTGCACTGTGGTGATAGACAAGCTGCACTAGCAGAAACGAAACTCTACATGTCAGTACTGACAGCTGGCACCTTGATAAACTACTGGCAGGCAGCTTCCAATAATAGAGGGAAGCTGATAAACAGGCACGTTTTTAGTCTACTCAAAAAGTCAAACATACTGTATTCAGTTTATATTACGAACGGCATACTGCCCCTCGACATTCTGCACTGCACCAATTCAGCTCAGATAGCACAGCAGCACATTCCCCGCACATGCCCCATCACTGTAATTCCTCACTCCTGCGGATAACCCTCCGCCACTGACGAATCACAATCTCACGATTTCCTCACAGCGTTCTGCACGAAGAGCAGCTCAGATAGCACCTCCCCCATGTGAGGCCGATCGCGGCCGGTGGGAGCGGTGCAGCGCAGAGCCAGCTGCAGCAGGCGCCAGGCGGGCACCTTGGGCAGGTTGGAAGGCAGTGCAGGGTCGAGCACTGCTGAGGGATCGCTGTCGTGCTTCCTCAGCAACGCAGAGACCTTGCAGGGGGGGGTTGGAGGGAGGAATGGAGAGTGGGAAGAAGGTTAGTGAGTGCACTCAGAGCGAGCAGAGCCAGCTGCAGCAGGCGCCAGGCTGGCACCTTGGGGAGGTTGGAGGGCAGTGCGGGGTCGAGCACTGGTGAGGGATCGCTGTCGTGCTTCCTCAGCAACGCAGAGACCTGGAGAGGGGTGGGATGGGTGGGTGGGGGAGAAGGGGATGGGTGGGTGGGGAGGGGGTACGGGTTTGGGCAGATGGGGTTGGGCGGATGGGGATGGGCGGATGAGGGTGGGCGGATGGGGGGGGGTGGATGTGTGCTCAGCACGGATGTGTGCTCAGCACGGATGTGTGCTCAGCACGGATGTGTGCTCAGCACGGATGTGTGCTCAGCACGGATGTGTGCTACCTGGTTATGTGTGCTACCTGGTTATGTGTTACCTCATAACCAGATGTATATTACCTTGAAACCAAAACGTGTGCTTTATGGTGAGTACACTACCCGATTAACCACTCCTCCCTCCACTAACTACACTACCCAGTAACTCATCTCCTCCCCATTACCAGGTCGCAGATGTGAGTGGAGGTCCCGAGGTGCTGGTCCTCTATCTGAGGTGGCAAGCCTGTGCAGTGTTACTGTGAAACTACACTATCCAGTAATCACTCTCCCCCCCATTACCAGGTCGCGGATGTGAGTGGAGGTCCCGAGGTGCTGGTCCTCTATCTGAGGTGGCAGGCCCGTGAGCGTCTCCAACACGACAATCCCAAGGCTGTACACGTCGCACTTGGAGTTGAGCACTCCTGTTGATGAATACTCGGGACACACGTAGCCCTGGTGGGTTGGGGAATGGCATGAGTGGAGGGAAGGAGAAGAGAGGAAGACAGTTTGATGCACAACACGACGATCCCAAGGCTGTAGACGTCGCACTTGGAGTTGAGCACCCCGGTTGACGAGCATTCAGGGCACACATAGCCCTGGAGGGTTGGATTGGGTAGGTGGAGAGGGAGGGAGAAGAGGGGAAGATGGTATCCGAGAGGATACCATCATCCCGAGACTGTACATATTGCACTTGGAGTTAGCACTTCGGTTGATGAGTGTTTGAGGCACACACACACCACCAATCCTGACACTCACCACGGATCCCTTCACTCTGACGATTGTCGAGGCCGGGGTGTGCGCTGATGCCTCCCGCACAAACTCACTCAGCCCGAAATCCGACAGCACCCCGACGCAGCAATGAGAATATTTAAACCATGCACCAACAGACCCCTCCTACTCACCATACCCTCCCACTCACCACGGATCCTTTCACTTTGACGATTGTCGAAGCCGGAGTGTGCACCGACGCCTCCCGCACGAACTCACTCAGCCCGAAATCCGACAGCAACCCCTCCCCCGACGCAGCAATGAGAATATTCTCCGGCTTCACATCCCCATGCACTATCGGCACATCCAACCCCCAATGTAAATATTTCAACCCCCATACCAGCATTCCTTCCCGTGATGCAGCAATCAGAGTATTGGACCATGCGCCACAGACCCCTCAAACTCACCACATCCCACAGTCCCACTCACCACGGATCCTTTCACTCTGACGATTGTCGAAGCCGGAGTGTGCACCGACGCCTCCCGCACGAACTCACTCAGCCCGAAATCCGACAGCAACCCCTCGCCAGACGCAGCAATGAGAATATTCTCCGGCTTCACATCCGAATGAACAATCGGCACCTCCAACCCCCCGTGCAGATACTCCAACCCTCTCGCCGCCCCCACCAGCACATCTACCCTCCTCCCCCAGTCCCTCAGCCCGCCTTGCTCCTTCAGCCCGCCGTGGAGATTATCGAATAGGGACCCGTTTGGAGCGTAGGTGTAGACGAGCATGAGCTCCTGCGCTTCCCTGCAGAAGCCTATAAGGGGTACGAGGTTGGGGTGGCTGATGGAGGAGAGGACCTTGATCTCGTTGATGAAGGTGGAGAGGGAGAAGTCAGAGCGGAGGGCTGCTTCTCGCACGCGCTTTACTGCCACTGGCGTCCCTTGGGACGAGTTGAGTGGCGCTTCTTTCATTGTCGAAGAGGCGGTGGAGGAACCTTCTGTGTCGGTACCACCAGCAGCAGCACCAGCAGCAGGAGAGGAATCTATCTCAGCAGCACCATCAGCAGCAGCATCAGCAGCGGCAGCAGCACCACTGCCTAGAGCGCCATCCGGCTTCTTTTCAACCTGCCCGTTCGCCTGCCCTTTGTCTTTCCCCGCAGCAGCTGATTCCGGGAGCAGGCTTTCGTCCAGGTGCCCGAGGTACACGTCAGCAAAGGACCCGTGGCCAATCACGTGCGAGAAATGGTCGGTAGCCGCAATCAAATCGTCGTATTGGAAGTAACAAACCCCATGCACCAGGAACGTCTGTCGGCCGTTGATTCTCTTTGAATCCGACGGACTGATCGTGATCTCCCACTCGTCTCCCTTCATCAACCCTGGGATCTTGAGAGTTGTGAGTGTGACTGTAGAGGGGGGAGTGCTCTTGGATCTTCCCCAGATGTTGGATCGCCAGCAGAGGAAGAGGAGGAGGAGGATGACGAGGAGGAGCGAGGTGAAGAGGATTGGGAAGAGGATGGAGGAGGTTTTGGACGGGGCGGGAGGAGGTGGAGGAGGGACGTTGAGTGGTGGCGCTGTGGGGATGGAAGGGAAGATGGGAGAGAGGCAAGGGAGAGGGAGAGCAAACGGGAAAAGGGAAAGCAAAAGGGAGAAAGGGAGAGCAGAGGGGAAAGATTGGGCAAGGTTGTCTGAGCAGGCGAGATGCGTCTTGCCAACAAGTCTGGTATGCGTGGACCAATTCTGTTTGAGGTAGCTTGCTCACCCCCAACAGCCACATGATAACAATTCTGTGCCAAGCCATCTGAGAGAAGACAAAAGGTTTTCAAGCAGCCAAAAAACACAGCTGGGCGTGTGATAACACTTACAGAGTTGAATTTGGAGTCGACTCAAAAGTCAACCCGTGTGATAACACTTACGTGGTTGTGCAAGAGATTCACGTGGAATTGGGGAGGTGAATCCTTCGAACCGGTACAGCCCGTAGCTGACCCCCATGGAGACATTATGCCGCATCCGCCTCACCTCACCACCCCCTTGATCTAACAAGCACACCTACCACCCCAACCAGATTGCACATACACGCACACACATGCGTGGTTGTGCAACACTCACGTGGGATTGGAGAGGTGAATCCTTCGAACCGGTACGGCCCAAAGCTGACCCCCATGGAGACGTTATGCCGCACAAACCTCATCACCACCGCATTCACAATCGCAGCCGTCCATTTCTGCCCGCCGGGCAGAAAAATCAAAACCTCCAGCAGCTGAGAGCCGTCCCTTTTCGTCCGAACCTGCCGAATCCATGACTGCCCGGTTTCCCACCCAAACTGCGCCTCCAACCCCCGCTGCAGGTCAGTTGCTAGAGTCTTAGAGAAGAACAGATTCGGCGAGTGAACGAGCCTAAGAAAGACTTTTAGTGCCTTGGCACAGACACAAGCCGCTGCAACCCGGTAGGCATAAAAGCTGGGGTAAGCGGCGGCGGCGGTCGGATCACAGGTGTGAGAGGGACAGAAAGGGTCTGAGGTGAACACAATATCGTCAAGGGAGGCACCAGGGGAAGGGAGGAAGACTGGAGGCTGGATTTTCTCGTTGTAACGGTTACAAGCAGGAGCGAGGGCGGGGAGTACAAGGGTGAAATTGCAGAAGGGGTTTCCCCAGAGGCGGAGGGAGTTGTTGGTAACCATGTCCATTAGATACTGGGGCGTTTTTCGACGGATCTTGCCGCCTGTATCGTCCAGCTCGTTGTTTATAAGGGAGACGTAGTGTATTGCGCCCGAGGCTGCTGAAGCTGAGAGGTCCGGGAGTTGTAGGTCGATCTTGTTGTTGTCCGCATTGCTGGTGGGAGGGAGAGGGGAGAGAGGAGAGAGGAGGAACACGTGTAGTGAGTCGATTTTTGAGTCGACTCAAAAATCGAGAGGAGAGAGGAGGAACACGTGTAGTGAGTCGATTTTTGAGTCGACTCAAAAATCGAGAGGAGAGAGGAGGAACACGTGTAGTGAGTCGATTTTTGAGTCGACTCAAAAATCGAGAGGAGAGAGGAGAACACGTAGTGAGTCACGTGTAGTGAGTCGATTTTTGAGTCGACTCAAAAATCGAGAGGAGAGAGGAGGAACACGTGTAGTGAGTCGATTTTTGAGTCGACTCAAAAATCGAGAGGAGAGAGGAGGAACACGTGTAGTGAGTCGATTTTTGAGTCGACTCAAAAATCGAGAGGAGAGAGGAGGAACACGTGTAGTGAGTCGATTTTTGAGTCGACTCAAAAATCGAGAGGAGAGAGGAGGAACACGTGTAGTGAGTCGATTTTTGAGTCGACTCAAAAATCGAGAGGAGAGAGGAGGAACACGTGTAGTGAGTCGATTTTTGAGTCGACTCAAAAATCGAGAGGAGAGAGGAGGAACACGTGTAGTGAGTCGATTTTTGAGTCGACTCAAAAATCGAGAGGAGAGAGGAGGAACACGTGTAGTGAGTCGATTTTTGAGTCGACTCAAAAATCGAGAGGAGAGAGGAGGAACACGTGTAGTGAGTCGATTTTTGAGTCGACTCAAAAATCGAGAGGAGAGAGGAGGAACACGTGTAGTGAGTCGATTTTTGAGTCGACTCAAAAATCGAGAGGAGAGAGGAGGAACACGTGTAGTGAGTCGATTTTTGAGTCGACTCAAAAATCGAGAGGAGAGAGGAGGAACACGTGTAGTGAGTCGATTTTTGAGTCGACTCAAAAATCGAGAGGAGAGAGGAGGAACACGTGTAGTGAGTCGATTTTTGAGTCGACTCAAAAATCGAGAGGAGAGAGGAGGAACACGTGTAGTGAGTCGATTTTTGAGTCGACTCAAAAATCGAGAGGAGAGAGGAGGAACACGTGTAGTGAGTCGATTTTTGAGTCGACTCAAAAATCGAGAGGAGAGAGGAGGAACACGTGTAGTGAGTCGATTTTTGAGTCGACTCAAAAATCGAGAGGAGAGAGGAGGAACACGTGTAGTGAGTCGATTTTTGAGTCGACTCAAAAATCGAGAGGAGAGAGGAGGAACACGTGTAGTGAGTCGATTTTTGAGTCGACTCAAAAATCGAGAGGAGAGAGGAGGAACACGTGTAGTGAGTCGATTTTTGAGTCGACTCAAAAATCGAGAGGAGAGAGGAGGAACACGTGTAGTGAGTCGATTTTTGAGTCGACTCAAAAATCGAGAGGAGAGAGGAGGAACACGTGTAGTGAGTCGATTTTTGAGTCGACTCAAAAATCGAGAGGAGAGAGGAGGAACACGTGTAGTGAGTCGATTTTTGAGTCGACTCAAAAATCGAGAGGAGAGAGGAGGAACACGTGTAGTGAGTCGATTTTTGAGTCGACTCAAAAATCGAGAGGAGAGAGGAGGAACACGTGTAGTGAGTCGATTTTTGAGTCGACTCAAAAATCGAGAGGAGAGAGGAGGAACACGTGTAGTGAGTCGATTTTTGAGTCGACTCAAAAATCGAGAGGAGAGAGGAGGAACACGTGTAGTGAGTCGATTTTTGAGTCGACTCAAAAATCGAGAGGAGAGAGGAGGAACACGTGTAGTGAGTCGATTTTTGAGTCGACTCAAAAATCGAGAGGAGAGAGGAGGAACACGTGTAGTGAGTCGATTTTTGAGTCGACTCAAAAATCGAGAGGAGAGAGGAGGAACACGTGTAGTGAGTCGATTTTTGAGTCGACTCAAAAATCGAGAGGAGAGAGGAGGAACACGTGTAGTGAGTCGATTTTTGAGTCGACTCAAAAATCGAGAGGAGAGAGGAGGAACACGTGTAGTGAGTCGATTTTTGAGTCGACTCAAAAATCGAGAGGAGAGAGGAGGAACACGTGTAGTGAGTCGATTTTTGAGTCGACTCAAAAATCGAGAGGAGAGAGGAGGAACACGTGTAGTGAGTCGATTTTTGAGTCGACTCAAAAATCGAGAGGAGAGAGGAGGAACACGTGTAGTGAGTCGATTTTTGAGTCGACTCAAAAATCGAGAGGAGAGAGGAGGAACACGTGTAGTGAGTCGATTTTTGAGTCGACTCAAAAATCGAGAGGAGAGAGGAGGAACACGTGTAGTGAGTCGATTTTTGAGTCGACTCAAAAATCGAGAGGAGAGAGGAGGAACACGTGTAGTGAGTCGATTTTTGAGTCGACTCAAAAATCGAGAGGAGAGAGGAGGAACACGTGTAGTGAGTCGATTTTTGAGTCGACTCAAAAATCGAGAGGAGAGAGGAGGAACACGTGTAGTGAGTCGATTTTTGAGTCGACTCAAAAATCGAGAGGAGAGAGGAGGAACACGTGTAGTGAGTCGATTTTTGAGTCGACTCAAAAATCGAGAGGAGAGAGGAGGAACACGTGTAGTGAGTCGATTTTTGAGTCGACTCAAAAATCGAGAGGAGAGAGGAGGAACACGTGTAGTGAGTCGATTTTTGAGTCGACTCAAAAATCGAGAGGAGAGAGGAGGAACACGTGTAGTGAGTCGATTTTTGAGTCGACTCAAAAATCGAGAGGAGAGAGGAGGAACACGTGTAGTGAGTCGATTTTTGAGTCGACTCAAAAATCGAGAGGAGAGAGGAGGAACACGTGTAGTGAGTCGATTTTTGAGTCGACTCAAAAATCGAGAGGAGAGAGGAGGAACACGTGTAGTGAGTCGATTTTTGAGTCGACTCAAAAATCGAGAGGAGAGAGGAGGAACACGTGTAGTGAGTCGATTTTTGAGTCGACTCAAAAATCGAGAGGAGAGAGGAGGAACACGTGTAGTGAGTCGATTTTTGAGTCGACTCAAAAATCGAGAGGAGAGAGGAGGAACACGTGTAGTGAGTCGATTTTTGAGTCGACTCAAAAATCGAGAGGAGAGAGGAGGAACACGTGTAGTGAGTCGATTTTTGAGTCGACTCAAAAATCGAGAGGAGAGAGGAGGAACACGTGTAGTGAGTCGATTTTTGAGTCGACTCAAAAATCGAGAGGAGAGAGGAGGAACACGTGTAGTGAGTCGATTTTTGAGTCGACTCAAAAATCGAGAGGAGAGAGGAGGAACACGTGTAGTGAGTCGATTTTTGAGTCGACTCAAAAATCGAGAGGAGAGAGGAGGAACACGTGTAGTGAGTCGATTTTTGAGTCGACTCAAAATCGAGAGGAGAGAGGAGGAACACGTGTAGTGAGTCGATTTTTGAGTCGACTCAAAAATCGAGAGGAGAGAGGAGGAACACGTGTAGTGAGTCGATTTTTGAGTCGACTCAAAAATCGAGAGGAGAGAGGAGGAACACGTGTAGTGAGTCGATTTTTGAGTCGACTCAAAAATCGAGAGGAGAGAGGAGGAACACGTGTAGTGAGTCGATTTTTGAGTCGACTCAAAAATCGAGAGGAGAGAGGAGGAACACGTGTAGTGAGTCGATTTTTGAGTCGACTCAAAAATCGAGAGGAGAGAGGAGGAACACGTGTAGTGAGTCGATTTTTGAGTCGACTCAAAAATCGAGAGGAGAGAGGAGGAACACGTGTAGTGAGTCGATTTTTGAGTCGACTCAAAAATCGAGAGGAGAGAGGAGGAACACGTGTAGTGAGTCGATTTTTGAGTCGACTCAAAAATCGAGAGGAGAGAGGAGGAACACGTGTAGTGAGTCGATTTTTGAGTCGACTCAAAAATCGAGAGGAGAGAGGAGGAACACGTGTAGTGAGTCGATTTTTGAGTCGACTCAAAAATCGAGAGGAGAGAGGAGGAACACGTGTAGTGAGTCGATTTTTGAGTCGACTCAAAAATCGAGAGGAGAGAGGAGGAACACGTGTAGTGAGTCGATTTTTGAGTCGACTCAAAAATCGAGAGGAGAGAGGAGGAACACGTGTAGTGAGTCGATTTTTGAGTCGACTCAAAAATCGAGAGGAGAGAGGAGGAACACGTGTAGTGAGTCGATTTTTGAGTCGACTCAAAAATCGAGAGGAGAGAGGAGGAACACGTGTAGTGAGTCGATTTTTGAGTCGACTCAAAAATCGAGAGGAGAGAGGAGGAACACGTGTAGTGAGTCGATTTTTGAGTCGACTCAAAAATCGAGAGGAGAGAGGAGGAACACGTGTAGTGAGTCGATTTTTGAGTCGACTCAAAAATCGAGAGGAGAGAGGAGGAACACGTGTAGTGAGTCGATTTTTGAGTCGACTCAAAAATCGAGAGGAGAGAGGAGGAACACGTGTAGTGAGTCGATTTTTGAGTCGACTCAAAAATCGAGAGGAGAGAGGAGGAACACGTGTAGTGAGTCGATTTTTGAGTCGACTCAAAAATCGAGAGGAGAGAGGAGGAACACGTGTAGTGAGTCGATTTTTGAGTCGACTCAAAAATCGAGAGGAGAGAGGAGGAACACGTGTAGTGAGTCGATTTTTGAGTCGACTCAAAAATCGAGAGGAGAGAGGAGGAACACGTGTAGTGAGTCGATTTTTGAGTCGACTCAAAAATCGAGAGGAGAGAGGAGGAACACGTGTAGTGAGTCGATTTTTGAGTCGACTCAAAAATCGAGAGGAGAGAGGAGGAACACGTGTAGTGAGTCGATTTTTGAGTCGACTCAAAAATCGAGAGGAGAGAGGAGGAACACGTGTAGTGAGTCGATTTTTGAGTCGACTCAAAAATCGAGAGGAGAGAGGAGGAACACGTGTAGTGAGTCGATTTTTGAGTCGACTCAAAAATCGAGAGGAGAGAGGAGGAACACGTGTAGTGAGTCGATTTTTGAGTCGACTCAAAAATCGAGAGGAGAGAGGAGGAACACGTGTAGTGAGTCGATTTTTGAGTCGACTCAAAAATCGAGAGGAGAGAGGAGGAACACGTGTAGTGAGTCGATTTTTGAGTCGACTCAAAAATCGAGAGGAGAGA